AAATTCAGCCTTTTTAAATTAAACATTTATTTTTAACATAGCCAGTGCCATTCTGAAATCAAGAAAATGAGAAGTTGTGCTACAACTGTTAGGAATATTTAAATCACTGCCTTCTCGCAGCAGTCTGAGTAGAGGCTACAGACTGGTGGGGCTGAGCTTCCCCATGCTCAGTAAGTAGTCCCATCCAGGTTAGAGTTTTGGATTCCTGACTGGGCAGTGAAGGAGCAGCTTGCCCTTCCAACATTTACACTATGTACACTATTTGTTTGGCTAAATCTTCAGTGTTGCAAGTTGTTAATCTAGTTTCTTACAGAGCACTCAAAACATGTATTTAAAATAATTACTAAACAGTAGATCCCCTTTGTTTTCACTTATAGGAAAGCGGCAAGAAACTTGAAGAAAACATCTATTATTTTGGAACTACAGTGGAAGGCTTGCTAAGGAGGTTTGGCAAAGTAATCATGTTTTTTAATAGGATTTTCACATTGAATAGACTACATCAGAATTCAAAGCTGACAAAATACGGACAGTGGTTTGCTTCACGATGAGCTAGTATTCCTCCTGTATAATACAGTTCCATCTAATATATGAAATAAAAATCTGTGGGGATTCTACATTCACCCTTGGTGGTGGTAGACAGCCTCTGCTGAAAGTGCTGTCGTAGCTGCAATTAGCTGCAACAGGTGGGAGGAATTGGTGGAGTCCCTGCTGCCCTTAGAATAGTGTAAAAGTCCATGTCATGCATGACACTTAAGGACCATTTACTGGTAAGGAGGAAGGGGATAATACATGTGGAAAAGCAAAGGAAATTGAAGTGTAAAAGTTTGTTACAGTGGCTTGACTGGCTGTGCTAAAGGAAGTAAACCGGTGACACAATCATACATTCTTTTTTGAAATGTACTACATTGTGTTTGGGTGGACATTGCTGGGTAATTGTGGTTTTAAATGATGTAATGGAAGTTGCTACATTTATTTTTTTAATCTTCTCTAGACTATAGTGGATGAGCAGCTGGTTCTGAAGAGAGTGGCAGATATCTCCATTAATTTGTATGCAATGACAGCAGCTATATCCAGGGCTAGTCGATCCATCAGTATTGGTCTACGCAATAATGATCATGAAGTGAGTGCACTTATATTTTCTAGGACTGACTAATGGGTGTGATCACACCCTTTCAATATCCCATCTAAAGAGTCTGTTGAAACCAGAGTTTTCTATGGAGAACTGCAGACCCTGCTCCTTAACTCAGTAAGTTCTAGAACCATCCAGAGAGCAGAGACCTTTGTATCTGTATTCATAGCTGCTGCAGATTGGAATGTTAGATCCTTTCTCCTCCACTGAAGCAATGGTTCTGCATGCTCTGTGTAACAGGATAGACTTCAAGGAGCTAATCCCATCCTGCATATATTCTTTGAGTGTGGGCCTTCAGATAAACCAGGGAAAATCCACTTTCACTTCAACAGAAATGTACCCCTATCCTTCAGAATGCTGTTGGGCTGCCAGTTTTTTATAAATTGAGACAATGCACATTAGCATCTCAAGTTTTGGAAGGCCACAGAAGAGAGACTTTGTTGTACTGCTATAACCGTTAAATGAAAATGAGATTTATAAAAACAGGTTCATCACAGAATATAGAACACAGTTGTTCACAAATAAAACGGACAATACAGCAAGAGGTTTCTAATTTTCTGATGGATGTTACGTTAAATAATCTTAAATACTTCTCAGATAGGAGAGGTAAAGAAATAGGGAGTATGGAGTAAGTTAACCAGCTTCCACAACTTCCAGTTTGTGATCTTTGTACACAAATGATATTTTGTGAATTATTAAAACTGACACAGTAATCCAAGTATTTAAGTGTTCTCTTTAAAAGTTTTCAAGTTAGTGTGGTATTAAACACACAATTTTCTGATGTTCCTGTCAGGGTTTTTTTTCCCCCAGACTTAAGGGGTGGGAGATCTAAAATAATTAAAACTTCAGTCTTTAATGAACTTGGTATGTGAAATTTTTTTTTGTAAGTCACATCTGGATTTGTAACTGCGTACCCATCTTCTAGTCACTGTTGGGTGATAGGGTCATTCCATTTACTGGAAGTAGTAGCTGTGGAAAAAATGGCAACCCATTAGCATTCTTCCCACTTGAATCAGTAGAAAACCAGGCTCCATACCAGAGGTCTCAAACACATGGGCTGCATGCTGTGGCCTGCCAATCTCCCTGCGCGCCCTCCCCCTCCTCCCCACCGGAGTTATTTCTTGTGGCCACCAAGCTCCCCTTCTGCCCAGCACGCTGTGTCCCCGCTCTTCTGCCTACCTCCAGGTGCTTCCTGCCGCCAAACAGCTGTTGGGCTGTGCTTAGCGCTTTCCACGAAGGAGCAGGGAGCGGAGGCGGGGGCTTTTGTATCTTTATATGAAAAGGTGTCAGTGATGTGGCCCTTGAACCAATGTACTAGTCCTCATGTGGCCCTCAAGGTGATTTAAGTTTGAGATCCCTGCTCTATACCATGAGAGGAAAAGAAGAATTACCCTCACACAGATCTGATCTCAAACTCATTAGCTTTTAAATACATTTAGCATGAATTGGTAGTATATTTTCTTGGAGAAGACTTGTTTGTATGGTTTGTTTAATACCTTTCTTTTGTTGGATTTTGTTTTTCTCAGGTGCTGCTTACAAATATTTTCTGCACAGAGGCATATTTTAAAAATAATTATGCCATGGCGGAGTTAGAAAAATGTAAGTTCTCTAGTAGTGGGAAGGATAAACTTAATGTGACTAGAACAACCTATATGCAAGGATCTAACATGGGTTATAAGGGTGTTGAATGCACATAAGCGGCTTCACTTGAGCTTAGGGTGGGTGTCACCAGATGGCACTGTTACAGTTTCAGAGGTTCTTAACATGCCAGTACTATTACAAGAAATACTGCTTTGGTTTTGTGATGCAGGGTTTTTTTAGGTGGGAGGCGTTGCTCCATAGGAACAGGGGACTGATGGTTTGGCTGAGGATTCTGAAAGCCCAAAAGTCATCAGAAACTGCATACAGGCAATTCCCTTTAAGACTGGTGTTACATAAAACAAATTGCCCTAATGTACCCATTTGGCAGAGGGACAACAATATTTATACAGAAGTTGTCTAACTTCCCCTCTCATTGGTAATACAAATATCCAATACCCCCATACACAGAATTCTTAGGAGAAAACTGAGTGCCTTCTTCAAGGCCTGGCCCAACTTCCTCTCTTGGGATCAGCTGATTTCTGTAACATGCATAGCATTGTTAGGAAGGAAAAAGGCCACAGATGCTGCTATTGAACCAGTTAGTAATATAGAATAGTGGTTACTTAAGTGGTACAGTAACTCCTGGCTTAATGTTGTAGTTATGGTCCTGAAAAATGCAACGTTAAGCGAATCCAATTTCCCCATAAGAATTAATGTAAATGGGGGGGCGAGGGGAGTTAGATTTCAGGGAAATTTTTTTCACCAGCCAAAAAACTATATTTTATATACACACGCAGTATACGTTTTAAACCATTTAATACGGTACACAGCAATAACGATTGTGAAGCTTGGTTGAGGTGGTGAAGTCAAAGAGTGGGATATTTCCCAGGGAATGCCTTACTGCTAAATGATGAACTAGCACTTGGCTGAGCCCTCAAGAGTTAACACATTGTTGTTAATGTAGCCTCACATTCTACAATGCAGCACGAATGGAGGGAGGGGAGACAGGGACCCACACTCTGTATGTGGGAGACAGATGTGCATTGCTCCTTTTAAGTACACTGACCCCACTCTAAGTACATTGCCTTTTAAAAAAAAAAAAACTCAGGAAGTTGAGAAAGCAGCTGCAGCCAGCAAGCTCTCTCCATCCTGAGCCCTGTCCTGTCCCCACCCTGATAGATATAGATAGATAGATAGATAGAAGGGATAAGCAGGGGGACAAGCAAGCAGGAGGCTCCTGGGAGCACTAAGAGGGGAAGGGGCAGCTGCTGCACAGGGAACTTAGGGGAACGGGGAGCTGATGGTCCACCCTTGTTCCAAGCCCCCACCAGCTAGCTGCAACAGGCTGCTCTTCCTGCAAGCAGTGGACAAAGCAGGTGGCTGCCAAACAATGTTATAAGGGAGCATTACACAACTTTAAATAAGCATGTTCCCTAATTGATCAGCAATGTAACAACAAAACATTAACCAGGACAACTTTAAGTGAGGAGTTACTGTACATTTAGAAACAGACTGCTCTGCTCTATCCCATAATAAATGCAATTGAGGAAAGCTCAAACCTGTCCCTAAAGTCTTGAAATATTAGTCAAAACTGCTGTTTCTTAGACTTCCTCCTATGCTGGCAGAATAGATGTTTGGACTCTTCAGACTTTTTGCAAATAAATGTACACTAGTGTCCTGGATTTAACTATTGTTTTGCTTTCTTCCCACCCCCACTATAGATGCTGCTGAAAACCTGGATGACAGTATTAAAAAAGTTGCACAGCAGGTGCTGGAAAAGAGAGCCTATATCTGTTCTCATCCACTAGAGAGGACATCCTAATCACATTTAACAGGTAGCCGATTAACCTGTGGGTAAATGAAGAAAATTTAGTTTTTGTACAAATATTTTTTACCAGCTGCCAAATGTAATTGTAATCTTGTGTAAAAAAACTTCTCCCACCACTGTGGGAGAGAGACTAAAAGAGAAACAAGTGATGCTCATTCAGCTATGGGTATTTACATGAGATGTCCAATAAAGAAAACTTTTTACAACCTCAATGTAGCCTAAGCACTTATGGGGAGGAAAAAATAGCAAATAGAGCCAGGCCTTTCATCACTGGCCCAATATTTATCGCTGCCACCTATTTTCTCATCCTTGGCTCCAGAAAGTATTACAGGAATGAAAATGTCACTTTCCAGCCACTGTCATACAAATTAGTTGTGTAACATTTAAGAATAATGAACCTTTTTCTTGTAGTTGGCATGTTTAAAAAAAAAAAAAAATCAATAAGTAAAGCAGGTAACACACACACACACAATCTGTAAGTGGATGAACAAACATTTCACCATTAGCAAAAAGTTTGTTCAAATGATGGGTGTATAATAATCATCTCTCAAAGTGAGAACTATGGGCTTGTGCTGTATGCTCCTGCTGGGAACATAGGGATGGCCCATCAGTCAAAGTACTGATGTAGGTTTCAGGAGAATGCTTACTTAATAGCGTCCTTTGTAAAAACAAATGGTAACTGACTTGTATTGGTGGTTTAGGGCCTTGTACTCAAAACTTAGAGGGGAGAAAGAAACAGGCAACCCTTGCCGTTTGGGTTTCAGAGAATTCTAATTTAGCTCCCTCTTTGCCTGTGATCATTTTAGCTATGGATAAAGGGAAATTGCTTGGGAATCTAGGGAGAGGTAATTTTCTGCAGCATTTCTGTGTAGGGGAAGCTTCTATAAGGGTCAGCACCTCCTTTTTCCTTGACCCCCTAAGGAGGATTGATTTAATCTCACTCCAGGAGGGCATTAATATCTGAAAGGCTGATAGGCACTGAAACCATTACACAGGCTATGTCTACACTTTGCGTTGGAGATATAAATTCTGGCTACGTACATAGGATAGCTAGCCCCTCATAGTGTACTATATTTGTAGCAGATTAGCTCAATCACAGCTAAGGCTTGTAGCTCTCCTGAAGCTAGAATTTACATCTCTACTTTAGGCATGCCTACAGTCCATCCCCTCTGTATTTTAGTTGCTACCTAATTACCTGACTATTCAGTGGCATCTTGCTGTAGCAGAAGGGTTGTATCCTCCCCTCCCTTCTCCGGTCTTTTCCTCTTGTAAAGAAAGGAATGTTCATAACAAAGTAAACTGGAATGGAAAAAATAAACATGCTAATTATATATTTGTCTTCACAAACACTGGACTATATCTGATAAAGGATTTAATTTTCTGTAAATGTGCATATTGCTATGCTTATTCTAGTCCATAGGAACTTGTACAATACAGTAAATTGGTTGTTAAAACCACTAATTTTAAGCCCTTAAGCACACTACACAGTGAAGTCTTTCCCCTTCAAAGGTTTTTTTTTGGGTCCCTCGATAAATGCCATTAATTTTCCAGTCAGATGATTGTACTCATGGTAGGATCCTGTAATACTAGAAAAGCTGTTTTAACATCTGTTAGTATGTCCTCCTTCCCTTTGCTTACTCAGTACCAAACACTTTTTCAGCTACTATTGATTCCTCACTTTCTACACATGTAGTATGCAGAAAACTAGCATTGTGCCTCACAGGTGCTGATTTATAAATTGCTTGTAAAAAAGAACCATCTCAAAGTTACACAAGTGAAGCACTCCTTGACATGTATTGGATAAGTATTCTTAAAGGCCTGAATAGTCATCAGTAACTGATCAATTGTTTTAGATTCATGGATGTAGAATTATATTCAAATGAGTCACTGACTTTCTATAGTATGCAATCCAGCTGAGCTGAATTTGTGCCCTCTTCTAATTTCAAATAACCCCCTTGCAATCAGTGAAGTTTCTCTATCCGCTACACCAAGTGAATCAAACAGTGTTTAGCCAAGAATACTTAACATTACATCTTGGAATACTTATAGCACTCTTAATTTGGATAACTGAGAAATTTAAGACACACACTGTTTAATGGAACTGATACGTTTCTGTTTCTGCCAGTGGTCATATCCATAAAACACACCCTCATCTTTCGGTGGACAAATATATGCACTCATTTGTGTAGGTGTGGATATGTATTACCTGTCGGTATACAAGTACATAGCTATGTATATACATACACACCGAGATACTTGTATACTGACAGGCATTACATATCCACACCTACACAAGCGAGTGCATGATCATGACAGCATTGGACATTGTATAGATATTTGAATGGAAGAATTCCAAGGAAAACCTTTGTGCTCAAGGAAGTTTGGAGTAGGCACAAGTTTCCTTCAGAGTTAGTACGGAAATGAAGCCCTCCACTATAGTGACAGACCAATATGCTCTTCTCAGTGATGCTGTTTTTAGCATGAGAATTAACATAATCTTGACCACTTTGGGTCATTAAAAAGCTTATGCAAGAGATGTAAAAAGCAACAAAGAGTCCTGTGGCACCTTAAAGACTAACAGATGTATTGGAGCATAAGCTTCCGTGGGTGAATGCCCACTTCGTCAGACGCGTCTCACGAAGTGGGTATTCACCCACGGAAGCTTATGCTCCAATACGTCTGTTAGTCTTTAAGGTGCCACAGGACTCTTAGTCTGGATCTGTAAAAAGCAACAAACACAGCTATCCCTCTGATACTATGCAAGAGATGGAGCATTACCCTACTAGCCTTCCCAACTTTTGGGTAAACAGAATGTAATTACCCCAGTTACTTCTTGCATTTTTCCTCATTTCCTTCCTAAATGAATTTGGGTTCTTGTGCACTGTAAAAATTACTGTGCTGTACCCCCAAGTGCCTATATATTAAGCCAATTCCTTGCCATTCTGTGCATCCTGACTAAGCTGCAAGTCAGCTGCTGCTATAAACTAAGTGGCTTACTTGAAGTCGGCTCCTTTCAGCTTTTCAAACTTTCTGTGTTCCATGTCATGGCAGGGGACTATATTCCAATTCCACTTCAAGCTGTGCTGGTCTTCAAGACCTGGAACAAATCCATTGGTGGTGCTCCTCTTTCTGGTCAGGTCTCGGTAACTGCCACAGGCAGGTATATGCTGCAACACGGACAGTGCTGGGATAGGCTAGGACAGTACAACAAAATTAAGCAGAAACAGGTTTCAGCCTAGGCAGTACTACTTTTGCTTATTGATTACCAATGCTATAAACAAACATTTATGTTTAACAACATGAGCACGTGCTAGTAAAGTAAATCCTGGGGCCAACATTTGAGCCCAGAAAAGCAGGTTTTCATGCTAAGGATGACTTCAGTAGAAGTAAAGGAAACATCTGTTTCTTCCTACACTGTTTTCCAAGTATATAAAAGAGTTGAGGCACCCAAACACAGTTTGAAATAAGCTGTCAGCAACTACTGAAGTGTATGGGGAAAAAGCTGTTTGTTAGTCATTCCATACTGATAAGATGAGCACTCTCTGTGCACGGAGAGCTTTGTGTGTTAGGGAGCTTTATGTGCTGGTTTCTGGCTAACATTGCTATAATTGCTCAGGTTCAAGAGTTTTAAAAAAAGGTAGGAGAAGGAAGTAGTCTGGCCTTGTGGTTCACAAGCCTGGGCCTAAATTATTTTGTCTTATGAACAAGCTGGCTGCAAGATCCGGAAAGCGCAGTTACTGAGCATTTGGGTGTCACGAGTCTGTTGTATTTTCATTTTACTGCAGCAAAGTCTCGTGCATCATCAGGATTCAAATGCACAACGGTCTTATTTACAAGGTTTTTGTCACTACTCTTTGCTGTCTAAACCCATGTAACCTTTTGTTGCGTGGGCAGAAAAAATGCATGCCACATTAACAATCACACAGAGAATCTGTAAAGTAGCTCAGTAAAGCTAACACACTTTAGAGAACGGAAGGAATGCCTGAAAATTAGAGTGCATATTGTATCAGTTACCTCCTCTGTGTCAGTGACTATAATGGGTTCATGATGAGGCAGTGAGCACCTGAGCTCTAGTATTCTAGTGGCAGCACCCAGACCTCAAAAGATGATGCGAAAACACTTCAAGGCGGCAGGAATCCTACCCAGCAAGACAATGAGAACGAGGACCGTGCTTAGAAGGGAAGAGTCCTGGGCACGCACTTAGCAAATGGCCTCGCGGCTGCTGCAATGCAAACTTTTAAAAAATACACAACTGGCCTGGCTAAGACACAGCCTAAGGCAACAGAATCAAAAAGAGGAAGGTCCAGAAAAGAAAGTGGTGGAAACTACAAGTTGAATTAGGGACTTAGCTGGGGAGCAGAGAGATGTGAGCTCAGGTAAGGCTCTAAGGAGAAAATATGCAGCTAAAGAAACTAAGTTCAAGCTCACCCATTAAAAAAGGCTATATGAAAACAGGCAGAAAAGAGTGACTTTTTATCATTATTACTGCATTTTCTTTGGAAAGGGAAAGACAAGCATTTTACAGCAACTTAGACTTTGGGTTGAAGTTGAGGGTGTGAACTGGGAAAAGAAAAAGGGTCTGAGGGCATGCTGCTGTGCGTTCCTCCAAAACAAAGGTCTTGCAACAAAACAGTCTGACATCAAAAAGGGATGTTGGGGATGTGGCGGATGTTTGCTTTAACTTTGCTTTGTAATAAACAATCTTGAAGGTTCCTGTGGTTTTGGGTTTTTTTCTCTCCAAAGTATTTGTAACCGAAGGGAAGCTCCACTTTGAGTTTTAAAGTTTACTCATTGTTTGGGTCAGTCATTTCTATGTAGTCACTAACTGTCCGTCTGATTCATCCAACAAGAGACTAATTTGCTGCAGGCTGTCCATATAGCTTTTCATATCAACTAATGCAAATCCCTGAATCTTACAGGGCTGGGAGTGTCTGTGTGGTTTCTTCAGTCAGCTTGCACTACAATGTTAAGAAAGCCCATAGGAGAGTATATGGTGGGAGAGTTGGTGTTTAGTTGATAGAAGTGGTTTGGGCCCTGCAGAGAATATTACAATTTATCTTGGTGCTGTTAAGCCAGCTGGCCAAAATCATATTCACCTTCTCCCCCAGGGTAACTAAAGTTTAACAACATTTTGCTGGCTGGTAAATTATTCTGAGAGTTGGGTAAGGCTGAGCTAAGCGGGGCCATATGCCTCAAAGCTAGCAATGACTATTTAAATTATAATCTATGTCAACAAAATATCTTGATCAGCTAAATATGGAAATTGTTTTAAAATGCTGCAGACTGTCTATCAGCATGGCACTCATAGGTGCTGTTTCCAGGGGAACCCCAACCTTTAGGATCCCAGAGAAATGCACATTACCCGCAGGATCATGGCTGGTCTCTTAAGTGAGAATTTCTCTGGTTCATCTTTGAGAAGTCCCTGTAGTTTGTCTAGCTGGGCACTGGCTTTTGGGCCACGTGGGGTTAGCTCGGCTGCTGTGGAGCACCTGTAAACTTTCAGCTTGGTGTCATCAAATATAGTTTTCTGAAGCTGACCATTCTCTTCATGTAGCCAAGTGTCCACTGAAAAGAAAAATAAAATGACAGTAGAACTTGCTTAAACACTTGTTTAATCAGTCTTAATTATTTCTATGGTGTAAGTGGAAAATACAGAAACAAACATCCAAGTGTAATTCCATGTTTCAAAACAGTTTATCAAAACCAAACATTAAGAAAACTTTCTGCTCAGTGTGTATTTGTGTCAGTGGAGTTCATGATGCACCTGGGGGAGAATATAATGCCACGTATTGAATTTGGCCAAGAAGTTACAAATTTAAGCCTCCAATCCTCTCTGTTTCCAGTTAGCTAGTGGCGGAAGCAGTGTGTAGAGTGAGTCACGTAGTCTGGTGTTGGAGTCAAAAGATTTAACTGGATCTCTATGGGCACCTCCTCTGGCTTCTCTATCTGGCATTAGTTTTGGTCTGAGAGGTGGCTGGCTGCCTGACCTTTGCCTGAGTAACAAAAACAATTGTCACCATTCACTAAAAATAAAAAGGTCAGCCACTCAATAGAGCCATTTTATAGAGAAATAAGCCTTGAAAGAGCCCCACCGCTCTGCTGTATCATCTTTGTCCAAAGGCAGACCCTCAAGTTCAGGAACTAAGGCCAAGAACTGCCGGGCACAGGAGGCAATAACAGTGTTCCACATTATGAAAGTGGTGCAGCAGCTACGATCTGATACCTATTAGCCTAAAGCAAAACCTTGGACTAACAATGCCTCACTACATGTTTGCAAGCTATACACTTGCTGGAGTGTCTCACTGCACTTTTAACAGGTTAGATACAGAAATCCATATACATAGGAGACCTGCATTAACAGCAGTTAACTCCCTACCAGACCCCTTCAGAGCTGTATCCCAGAGCAAGGTGTGGTATCCCAAAATCAGGGCCGGCTCTATGGTTTTTGCTGCCCCAAGTGGCGAGGGAAAAAAAATGCGATCGCGATCTTCAGCGGCAATTCAGCAGCAGGTCCTTCCCTCCAAGAGGGACAGGGCCCCTCCGCCGTATTGCCGCCGAAGAGCCCGACGTGCCACCCCTTCCCCTTGGCCGCCCCAAGCACCTGCTTGCTTGGTGCCTGGAGCCGGCCCTGCCCAAAATCATCAGATGGGCAGGTCTTTTAATGCCTAGACTTAAATCACAGGCCCTGGCATCTGCAGCAGGACCAGCTACCAGTGTTCAAGCCACAACCCAATCCCCAGATGCATTTAACACCAATGCACTAGCTATGCTAGGCCAGCTCCTTAGCCAAGTAACCAAGTGCTCAATTGGGGAGCTGCAACAAAAATAATCCGCCCTCCTCAGGATATGGACCGGTCACAGACACAGTCCACTGCTGCTGCAGCACAAGGCTAGTGGACCTGCACAATTGTGAATGCACAAGCCCTGCCTGTTTCTCCCTCATCCCATCCCCCAAACTCCTTGTGTGCCACATGCAAAGAGCCACTGCAGATCACAGGCCCATGGGCACAGTGACTGCAGTACCCCGGGCAGGATCTCAGCACCCTCACCTCATGCCTTGGCAGCAGAACCGGACTGGTCTCATTATGTCCAAAGCCCTTTGCAGGAGTTGCCCTACAATTTTACTGCAGAATTCCAACTTATTAGTCAGGCTACACCACACTGGAAGTTAGTTACACATGCACTTTTACAGAGAGAGGCATAATTTCAAGACCAGAGCAACTGAAAACAATCCTCATAAGTGTATGTTAGAACTCAAGTTGAAAAAAAATGGGGTGGTTAGATATTGAAAATGGACCAGTTACCTGCCCGATGAGTAGCAGGAGCTGATGCTGGGAGGTAAACAGGTGGCTTCTTGTAAAGATCAAAATCTATACGACGCTGGTCCCAACTCCATCTGTCACGACTCAGCACTGGCTCCAAAATATTAGCAAACAGAAGGTTCTCCTGCCATTTCTAAATGAAAGTTGCATCTCTTTATGCAGTCATATTGCTGGCCACAGCAAGCAGTCACAAAAGTACTTCGGAAATCTTTCCAGGAAGGACAAGGATTAGGTCACATTACTAGGGTAATAGTTTGTAAAGTACCATATGTAAATACAAAGGAGACTCTATTGTTTCTCTGTGGGTTGCCTTTCAAGTTACAATTTTTGATTCATGGAGGAAAAATGTATTTTATAGGCGAGTTACTAAAATTCTAGTGTGTAATGGAATACTGCCAGTAGCAGTTCCCTAACACCCACCCCCGCACTGAGTAACGTTTTCCACACAGCTCGCCAGGAATAGTCTAATTACAAATTTGTGTCATCTCATCCCCTGTAATGTTAAAAGAATGAGCTTGTCACTTTATTCAGATGTGATAACCTAGCAGAGGGGTGGGATCTAGCAGTCTGAGCAGAGGGACACCATGATCTGACAGGAACGCCGTCCGTGACTTACAGCAAATCACTCTATGTCTTTGCCTCAATCTCATGTAAAAATGGGACTAGGAATGTATAGACCCGAGTCCAAAAATTGGCAGGTTCATCTCTCCCCTCTCATCACAGGAAGGACCCCAGACCGAAAGCTGAAAGGTAGAAGGGGTAGGCTGGGAGTGCAGAGTGAAATAGTGGCTCCAGGGCACTCTTCAAAGTGACATGCTTTTAGAAGATGGGGGCAGAGTGTGGCAGCGACAATCAAGATGGAGTTCTAGTCAGAGGGCTGGAGCAGAGAGGGAAACCAAGGTGGGGAAAGGGCTTTCTCTTCCTCTCCATGACTGAAAAGTGCTACACCTTTGCTTTGGACTTGGGAAGACCTCTTGCACTTGCTGGCCGCTTAACTTGGGCAGGGCACTCTCTGCATCACTTTTTTGTTTTGCAGCAGCACATGCTACAATGGCATTCAGAATCCTTTCCTGCTTGACTGGCCGGTTACAGGGATGTTTAGAGGGTAAAGTGTTCCATTTCTTTTCTAGAAGGTGAACTTTGACATGGTAAACCATCCCCCTCCCGCCCCAATCTACCACTTTACCTCCCAAGGACAGCAATGGAGCTCCAGGCAGGGAAAGGGAGAGGGATTTACTTTAGCTGGGAAAGCAATTTTAATTGCTAAGGAGGCAGTGGATCCTGAATAAGGCATGTAATAGCGCTCGCTAATGATGTGGCAAGACGACTGGGATTGCATTGCTGAACAGAGGGACGTGACCCAAAAGCTGGCATTTCCACAGGTGAAATGATCATGAAGGGAAGGCTCAAGGATGTGGAGGATGGGTTGGTTTCCTCCCCTCAAGCAGAGTGCAGTAGACTCAGCTCACCTTGTTTCTGAAGAGACACTTCTCTGATGTTTGACACATGAGTGGATTTTCTAAAAGCCTGGAGGTATTTCACATCGTCAGCATTTCAATGACAAAATTCTGTTGTTTTGGGCTGAAACATGGGACAAAAACGCTCAGTGTAGCAGCAACTATTCCACCTTCCCCACTATATGTGGAGAAAAATCAATTTGCTGGCTGTTAGCTTGATGTGTGCAGCTCTACACAGAGCTGTAAGTGGATGGGAGTGGGAGAGAGACTGGATTTCTTTTTCCTTTGATTAAAAAAAGCTGATTTCTTGGGAAAACACAATTTTGCAGGAAATTTGAGCTTACTATGAATGTAAGTATTTTTAGTATCAAGATGAAAGTGTTTAAAGGTGGATCAGCTCTCTTGTCAACTCCAGCTGAAGTGCAGTGACACTGTGCATTCTTAATTAACGTTAGTAACATCTGTGAAGCACTTTGAAGGGGGAAACTATTATATGGACAGAGCAAAACAAAGCACTGACCAATGAGAACATAAAAGGACTGATAGTTACATATGGTACAGGGGAGATTATTTACCAGTGAAATCCCAACACAACTATACTGTTGTCTGATTGAAGCAAAGCAATGTTGTATCGGGCTTGATGGTATCTCAGGCATCATTAAGCAGCATTTCAAAGAGTTCCTCAGGTCTAAAGAAAAGTAAAGGAGAGTCCTAGAGACAGCTCAAGGACAAGCAGCAAGAGGCTGCTCTGGTGCTGGAGTACTTGGCTTGCTGGATAATACTCACCATAGCACACAGGGGAAGAAAGACCTCAGTTGATCCAGAAAATGTAGACATCTAATTTACATCAGATGCTGGTAGAAAAAGGACAGGTCCCAGTGGAAGCTGTTGGGTGCTGAGCACTTTGAAAACCTGGCCACTTTGTTTAACAGCTTAATGAGAGCTGAGCTTTTTTGAAAATTTGCCTCCAATTGTAAGTGCAGAGCACTCTTCAAAATCTTGCCCTGAGCTCAGACATGCTGAGGAAGCAGGTGAGAGGAAGACTGTCTGGAGGAAGTATTCATTATCCTAGCTCTCTTGAAACTGTAACATCCTCAGGGATGGCTCATTCAGAGGCAAGACTGAGTCCAATTTTTGTAAATAAATCCAGATACTGTCTTTTTTTTAATTCCCCTGGCTGAAATGTGAGTTGTATTCCTCCAAGAGAGAGCTCTTTTCTAAGCTGCAAGTTGAGAAAATTCCTATTCGTACAGTTTCATCTGTGCTCTGGAACAAGATGACATTCGAGTGAGCGCAAGAAACAGAATTAAAGCTTTTAGGAAGCCAGATGGTTTAGCTTCCCTGAAGATGACATTCCAAGGTGCCCTGGTTAAATTCAGCTTTTGAGAAGAAAAAAAACAAAGGGCTCAATCCACAATAAGTGGTGGAAGTAGCACCATACCAAAACCAGGCTCTCTCGAAGTGGATTCTACTGGCTTTACATCTTCACTCTACTTTTCAGGAGACATGAATAATAAATTCAGCAAGCCACTATCCATCAGCGTGACTCAATACTGAGATACATGTTGTGCCCTAAGCGGCTGCTATTTGAGTATGGTGAACTGGCTTCCCCTTTTCTTTCTGTTGCCACTGTCATGCTGGGGTTAGCGTCACTTATGCTGGGCTGCTCAGCTGCCTTCTCCTCTTCATCCCAGCAGTAAGGGCAATACAATGTCCCAGGTGACTCTTGCTCCCACATCGAGCATTGTGCTCTTCTCCCCTTCCTTTTGGTTCACTGGTTCTTGGGCCCATCAGCTGCTGCTTCTGCATTAGGAGCTTTCTTTCAGCTTGGCAGTTTTTGTTCCATGCTGGTCAGCTGCCTTGCTGTTTATTTAATCTCTTCAGTAAGAGGCACTGACAGCTGCATTGTATTGGATGGCTGCTGTTGCCCCTAATAAGTGGCACTTCTTTGCGCCTCCATGAGAAGGCACATTCTCCACCAGTGCAGATCAGCAGAACACATGGTGCTCATATTACCGGTTTTATTTCAGAAGCATTGTAATGCAGATGAAAACTTAAAATCGGCATTAACTTTGTTCCACACTTGGTGTGTTCAATTAATTTGTTAGGACCCAACGACCCTACATGAAAATCCCCTTCTATTCCCTTTCTTCCCATCCCACCAAACCCAAATAATGCGCATGCATTTTATTTGACTGCATGCTCACTTCATATATACAGTGCTGCAGGCTGGGTAAGACTGTTCAGAACAGGGATGAATGAACTGGTCTTGTTGACAGTCCAGTAAAATGCTAAGGAAAGGGGAAAGTGAAACTATGAAGAGCAGCAAAGAATATGGAAAGAGGGGGCAAGATCAGAGGAATAGGAATGAACAGGCATAGAGGGGGAGAAAGGGGAAAAAAGAGAAATAAATGGCAGGGAAGGGAAACAGGCAAAAGATAAATGTAGAAAAAAGCAAAATGGCAGAGAAAGAGAAAATATACAGAAGCTGAAAGACACAGAGGATGGTAAAGGTTAAAAAGAAAGAACAGAATAGGGTCCTGGTCCATGACTAGGTCTCCTAAACAGTACGGTCATACAAGTTACAATAATAAATGGAAACACCAAATGAGAGAGAAAAAAGAAAGCCACACAGAGCTATATGGTAAAGGAAACACCTGGGACTTTTTACATTTAGCAACTTTAACAGCTAATAATTTTTCTCCAAAATAATTTCTTAGCAGGCAGCTATTTGCTCACATTGGATAAAAGGAGTTTTAGTTTTGTTTGGCTACACTTTTAAAAGGAGAGTGTGTCACACTCTATGGACTACTGATGGTTTATCTAATTTAATTAACAAATACATCACCATTCTGATATGAAACCCAGCCCTTTGAAAAAATGTACAAGCACACAGACACATCCATACATTTTAGCTAGTTGTCTATATTTTATATATATTGTATTTCTAATGAAATAACTTCTGCAGTTCACAGAGAAATGAATTTGGCCAGGTGAAGAGTAGATACAGGACCACTCTGTATCTGGTTTTAAACAAGACTCAAGATATAGGCTCAGACGTTTCAACCAACAGAACTGCAGTATGTTAACAACATTGGTGTCACGTTGGGGGAATAAAAGCATTTTCCCTCTAACCTCAAGCTGTATTTACACAGTGTTCTACATCTTCATAGAGGCTGGAGGAACTCTAGAGCAGAACAAGGAACCAAGGCTTGCAAACTCATAGTGAGAGAGACAGATCAAAAATTAATTGAACTCAGAGCAATGGGAGATGCATAGGTCAGAGTACAATTAAACTGAGAGCACGTGAGTAATGGCACCAGCCCTGCCTACATTGGGCTAGCATACTATGATTTTCAGACCCGAGCTTACACTGGTACATGTGCAACTTTGCAGTCACACTAACGTCTGCATGCACAGATGACAAGTTTCATGTGCAAACCCATTTAGACAAACGGGAGGAAAGTGCATGCAAGTGACAGAATCTTAATTGTGCATGCAGGTGTTCGTGCACCGTAACTACACAGAAGTAGAGGCTGGGCTGAGCCCTCTCCATAAAAAACCCTCAAAACCTGTAACACAATCTTCCCTTTTCTGAGCCTCCTGTCCTTGTTACTATAAGTTTGATACTAGAAAACAACTTTCTGGGGTTTACTACTTTAAGTTTCTAGATTACCTCAGTTAACTCCTTCAAACGTGTCTCATCAGGCATCCGAGGGTGCAGATTGGATTCAATGCAGCTCTTAAATCCAGGACATACAAACCCACTTGGCGATACCCACAAATTCTTGGATTTTGCAATAGATTCTTTCCGGACAGTGTCCAAATCCACAGGATCAAACATGGCTGACAGGTATTCGTGGCAATAAGCGAATCTCCTCTCTGGTTTCTAGGATGACAAATGTTTTATGTTAACATGAGTTCTCCTCTACTGGAGATCACCACAGCCCTGGAAAGTATAAAGTAACATCAACATCTATTGTGTCCTTTCTACTTACATCTAAAAATAACCAGAGATTAATCAAGTCAGACAGTCTGAAAAAACCTGATTAAGTACTTCAAAAAATTATTTTTGAATCTTATTTTGCATCCCTATCCTAGCTGTGGATTTAAAGATAATGCAAGTAAAAATTGTGGAATCATTAGAAAGATCTGATGCATTAGTTCCTTATATTTATTTATATGCATCTCCAGATCCTCAGCTGGTGTAAACTGGCATAGCTCAATTGGTTTCAATATGGCTACTCTGGTTTACACCACTTGAGGATTTGTCCCATATCATACTAGAGATGTTGGTCTCTCCATTGTTAAGATTAAAGTTAGGCTTCCATTGTAAACCCACTTTTGATAAACCCCAACAAACTTTAACAAAACACCATCAATCCACTCTAATTCCATAGACAAGATTTCATGTCAAGATAGAATTTTTCTGGAAAGACTGAGGCAAAAGAGGCCTGAAATTTGGAAGACATTAATGCACATTTATTTAAGGCATGATCCAACACCCATTGAAGTCAGCAAGAGTCTTCCCACTGACTTCCGTGGAAACTGGAGCAGGCCCTTAATTTGTTGGTCATGATGAGGCCTGCTGCCTTTGGTAATCTTGAAGGGTTTAAAGGGTATTATTTATGGAGTTATTAAAAGCAGTTTATGCACCTATGAGAAACCTTAGAAACCCAAAGTATGTATGTTTGATTTTTATGGAGTTCAGGAAATCCACACACGAGGAACTTCAGCTTCCTAAACATCACCTATTGACATGTGTGCTGTAAGATGGTGCAGATGATCTTTTGTGGGACTTTCAAAGCTGCTGGAGGGTGTGAATTTTCAAAGGTGTTCAGCATTGGCTTTAACTCTGCCCCAAGTCAACAGTAAAACTCCCACTGACATCAATGGGAGCAGAGTTAAATCAACATTGAGCGTTTATTAAATCCCATCTGAGCTGTGCGGAATGATCCAAGAAGCTTGCATCAGGCGAGAGGGGACCTCCTAAGATCCATAAAGTGGAGGTGCCTTCCTAGAGGCAGATCTGACTCAGTCCTACATCCCCAAATTAAGACAGTAATTTGAAGTCTTTAAGTCAAGACCTGATCTCTTTCTCACAGATACACTACAGCTCATACAGAAATTATGGACTCGATACAGAAATTATTGGGTGAGGTCCTCTGGTCTGCGTTATGCAGAAGATCAGATTAGACAATCACAATGGTCACTTCTGACCTAAAAAATCCATGAAAAAATAAGTTAATGCAGACAACTTTGTGGATTTACACATAAGACCATAGTCTTCTGTGGATGATAAAGAGAATTCATTAAACATGATGTATTTATTTAGCTTAAAGAAGTACTTTTGACCCAATGCCCCAGTGTAAAGTATCACCTCACCCCACAACTGTGCAGTGCCCCCCCCCCACAACCTCAGAGGTTGCTGCAGTATCTATGTAATTTGTAAAGCGTCTCCATATGAAAAGCGCCATAGACATATAAAATATTATTACAGTACTTTACTTCCTACTGAACCAGGAATTCTGTTTTGCCTATGATAGTGAACGTTAACGACTGCTGCATAATCAGGACAATACTAGCATAAATTCTACTGCATGGGGATATATTCAGCTAGTGCCAAGGAGTTAAGTGGTGGTGAACATGGTGTTAAATAGGCTTTTATATATATTATTCACACATACACAAATATTTGATTACATTACACACGTGTTAAAGGATGTAGAGTTAAGTGAAACATCTTTTCAAACTACCTTACATTAGATATAAAATGCATGAATATATTTATGGTAGCTCAGGTTCTCTTCTCAGTTATAAACCTGTGGAACTTCATTGATTTCAGTGAGATTAATTGGTGTGAGAGCAACATTTTACAAAAATTAGTAATATTGATGGAGTGTGTCTCTCAGAATTTAATACAATTCTATGCTCCCATCCCACCTTTGAACAGAGTCTGGGTCCCAACCCATCAGTGGGTCACAGGAAGGGTCTAGGTGGGCTGCCTGTCACTGCCCCCATGATACCCCACCCCACCCCACACATGCCCTGGAAACACTCCACTCTATGCTCTCACTTCAGCTGGGCCAGGGCAGCAGGGAGCAGCATGATGAGTGGGATGCAGCCAGCAGCAGCACAGAGGAAGCGGCCAGAGCCAGCACGCGAACAGTCATCAGCCTGGTAGCGAATGCGGCCCAACTGCAAAGAGAAAGGGGCCAGCTGGTGCTGCAGAAGGGGGCATCACCTCACCTTGATGCAGGGGAAGACTGGGATTGTTTGGTTCCTTTGCCAGGAGGAGAATCTGTGGGGTGTTTGGTGTCTGTTTCAGCAAGACCCCCTAGCCATAAAAGGATCTTTGAGAGGCTAGTTCTCTCCAAGGACGGAGACAGACCGGAGGGCTGTTTTGTGCTTTGTTTCATTGTAGTCTTCCACTCTCACTTACAGGGGTGTAGCAGGAGCCCTACTGGAATTCTCTGTCCACTTAAGGGGACAGGGCGGAGCCAGAGAGCAAGAGGGGGCTGGGCTGGAAATGGGGATAAAGGGCCACCCCACCCCACTTTACATGATGTCTGAGAGAGAGAGAATACATAACCGTGAGTCCCCAAAAAAAGACAAAATGCAGTTGGAGGGTCGCCTTAGTAAAAAGGTTAGGAACCACTGTTTTAATACGAAGGGCACTAATGTAAATCTATTTGAAGCCCCATTTCTGTCTCAGGATTGGGTTTGGTAAGCCAAGTCTACTCAGTCACACACAATGAAACATTCCACTATACACATGCTGTGTCTCAATCTTACCTTTGCCAGCTCTTTACGAAGTTGCATCTTTGCCCATTCTGCAGAATTCAGATTCTGAGAACTGTAGTTGTAGACCGACTTGCCGTCAGCAGGAGAACTCCTGATGGCTCTGAACTTTGGCTTTTTCACCTTCCTACTAAGTAGGTACACGGCATCAATGTTAGTCTGAACAGAAAAATTACACAGCAGTTTAGTGTAACGAAGTTTAACCCTCATGATAAAATAACTGTGCTTCCAGATACGCCAACAGAGCTTCCTCCATTGGCCATCGCCCCAAAAGGGGGCACCTTAATAGACCTTGAGACGTCATCTTTTCTGATGACTAGGGTGCTAGTCACTCAGTCTGCTTGTGCAGAAGGCACTCTGCAGGGTCCCGGCAGTTCCTCAGAGGTGAGAGCCCACAGCACAAGACCTCATACACATGGGTCTAAGCAGTGGTGCTGCTGGGGTGACGTTTGCTTGGCCGTGTGTGCGCATGTGATGCCAAGGGAAATAAAACCCATCAACGCATTATTTTATTTCTACAAATCTTCTATGTTAACACCAAAAGCAAGAAGTTCCTACCTCATGTCCCTTTGCAAACAGCCTTGCTGGCATGGTATAAATATACCCTCATGCTCTTTTCATTGATTTGAGATAGCCATACTGGGACCCTTTGTGGCCTTTGAGGAAATAATGTGCCCCTCAGGTGCTAGCACAAATGAACATAGATTGTGTTTACATGACTTACCATCCTCTGTTGACTTAGAAAGAAATCCTAACATGTTATAGGTATTTGGCTGCAAAATGTTTGTTTTGTCAGAAAGGTTGAAAGTCGACATTAGCCTACAAATAAGAAGGAACGTTCCTGTTTTTCTATAGCAGACCTTTCTGTCAGACTTCTCCACTGCGGACCCAAAAACTACAGAATGGGAACTGGTTATGTACCTCTATGGGGAAAGTTGCATATTTTACACAGATAATAAAATAACCCCTTTTTTCATTTGTACATAGTACTCAGGGCTAGGCTCCCTGATCCTTCTATGGGTATGTCCACTCTGCAGCTGGGACTGTGCCTCCCAGCCCGGCTAGACAGACTTACGCTAGCTCGACCCAGGGTCAAATGCTTCTGAGCTCAGGTAGCTAGGCCCAAACCCCCACCAGTCCTGCAACATCCACTCTGCTATTTTTAGCACAATTCTGTCTAGCCAGGCTGGGAGGGATGCTCTCCCCTGCAGTGTAGACAAACCCAGTGATGTTACAGCAGCATGTAACCAGGATGCTTACATGAGACTGCTTCCCTCCGGGCCTCCCACAACTGCCCCTTTATCAACAACAGACTCAGTATAAACAACACTAAAGTGTCCAACTTATTGTAACATCGACAGCACGAGTACTCACAAAGCAGGGTATTGGGAAACAGGAATGGAACTTTACACACATGCCAAGGAAAACTTTTTTTATATTAAAATACACACAGGAAATACACATTCAAAATAATGCCTCACAAACAAAGGATGCTTATTAGTCCTCAAATAAATGTGTTCTTAATAACATGACCTCAGCCTCTCAGATCTCCCACGAAAGCTTCTCCGGATGACATCAAAGATGGTTGGGAACACTCTTGGGCCTGCTCTACGTTACAGGGTTAGGTTGACATAAACTGCCTTGCATTGACCTAGCTGTGGAAGTGTCTTCACTTAAATTTGGCTCCTGCTGACGAAGTGCCTCTCTATACCGATTTAATAACACCACCTCCTCAAGTGGTGCAGAGTCACGGTCGATGTAATTAGGTCGACACAGTGTCAGTGTAGCCACTGCATTGCTTACATCGACAGTTACTGGCTTTCAGAAGCCATCTCACAATGCCCCTCACTGACAATACAATCGGTACAAATGCTCCTGGTGAGGATGCACACCACCGACACAAGGAGCTAAGAGCGCACACACACACAAGTGATTTTATAACTGCAGTGGCTGTATGCCAACAGAACTTAGGTTGACATAATTTTGTAGTGTAGATATGGCATTAGGCCCAGCCTGCTTTCTTCTCAGGCAGTATATGGAGAGGGGCTGCTTCCCACCATGGCAACAAGAGCCAGAAGTTCTACATCCCTTCCCTAACTACTTGCGTGGGGCTCTGTGCTTCACTGTCTGTGCCTTTCAGCTATTCTCAGGTGGCAGTGAGTATCATTTCAACTGCTAGCTAAAAACAGCTGGTTGGCACAAAGCACCTGCGTCTCCTCCTCCACTAAGGGCAAGAGGAGGTAGTAAATTTTACATCATTTGTGCATGGTAGGGCACCTGAAGCCTGGATTAGAAGCTGAGGCATGAACAAGAAACAACATGAAAGGGCGGAGTGCTTGTAGGAGAGAAAAAGGCAAGGAAGCGAAGGGACCAGCCCAAGCTAGAATAAGAACGCTATTAAATAGTTAACCCACCTCCCTCTTTGCTTTCATGTATGCTCTCTTCATCTGTAACCACTATTCTTCATCTGTAACCACTATGCTTTTTTCCCCCCTGACGAGCAGTCAATTCTGCAATACACCTTGTGCAGTAGATAAAATACTGCTGATCTTGTCCATGGATGGCTTTATTAAATGTTTCCAACTCTAAAAGACTATAGTTCTGGAGGGGGTAGGGGGAATTAAGGTGATGCATTATTGTGACTATTAGTATTGCTTCAAGTACGATAGTTCTACATCCCACATAACTCACCTGGATGTGGTCTTTGTAATGCTGCATTTTGTCTTCCATTTCCTTTTTACACTGAATGTACTTTTCATTGTGGTTATCCAGTAAAGAATGCATTGCTCCTTGTTTTATGATAACTTTTCTGGATTTTTGCAAAGCAAATGGGGAGACTGAAGGCAGGGGAGGTCTTTGAATAAACAAATCCTCCTTAGTTAGGGGAATCCCAAATTCCTGACTCAAGACTGTGATCATTTCTGCAGAGGGCAACAGACCTCTCTGAACGACATCCCTTAACTTCTTACTGTGGCAGAGATAATCAAGCCTACAAACACAAGCAGACAGAATACTTCTGTAGATTATCACAAAATGTACCAAGTTTTATTCTGATCACATAACAAGCATTAAACTATTACTCATGAAAAAACACACAGTTCTATCTTAACATCTTCTTGCTAAATGAATGGGGCACTTCAGTTCACTTACACTGGCACTTAGCATGACCCAACTGGAAAAAGGCGGCATGCTAAGGATTTATCAAAAACTACTAACGATATGCTACAAGAGGTCCTAAGGGGAGAGACTGAACAGTGACTTAAAAAGTTAGATGTTGACTATAATTTAGCTAGAAAATGGGTGTAAATAGTAAAGCTGTATTAATTGGACTGGTCAGGTATTCATTGTATGATAAAGCAAACTCCCTTTACAAGATTGGTATATGACCTACATTCATTGTACACTGAAAGCTAACTCAGTGCCAAGTATTCTCTTTTATCTTTAACACCCATTTCCTGACTACCTCACAACACATGCGTAACACCACGATTCATGCCACTGCTAAATTTGTCCCAGAGAGTTTCATGGAAATTGCACTTGCTTACTGCACACTGAACTTGGCCTTTGATTTTTAGAATTATCCCACAAAATGTGTAACTACAAAATTAATGAGCACTACACACAAGCATTCTCACTCTCTATATACACCCGTATACCTATATACACACACACAGACACATCAGACAGGGCCAGATCCTCAGTCCCTCGAGTGGGGCACAGTGGACCTTAAAGTTACTTTAAGGCAGCATCTGAGGATTGGCCTAGCAAGCCAGCTCTACTCCGGCTCCACTTGGACCCCCACCCGAGAAAAAGGATGTTCCAGGGCTGGGGAGGGACAAGGAAGTGGAGAGCAGGATGGGAGAACATTATGCCCTCTGGCAGCCTTGGCTGGAGGAACAGCCCCTTCTGAATCATTTTCTGCTGTTAGGCCTTGTCTACACAAAGTTGCACTGGTTTAACTAAAAGGGGTTTCAAACCTGATTGAATTAAACCCCTATGTGGGGTTCACTTTATCCTAAGATGATTACTTATCAGCTTAAGCTAAATTGACATAAGACAGGTTCAAATCAATTTTGAATGCGTGCACATAGGGCTTTCCACCAGTTTAACTAAATCGGTTTAAAAAAACATACTGGAGAGCAGAGGAAGCAATATACATCACACACGTTTTGCATAATATAATAAAGTGACTGTTTTCCAAATTGACCATAGCTGTTACTTTCTGTGCAAGTTAGACAGCGAATTCCCTATTGTATGCAATAAGAATTATTAAACTAAAGTAGTAAGGTTATTGTCAAAACTAGAGACAGAGTTTTGCTTATTCTTTTGTCCATATGCTTGATTTTGGACTGAGGTTAAAAGTTATCCTTTTAGCAGGTTGAACATTTTCACACTCTAAAAATTTAGAATTGTAAAATCACTGCAATGAGTATATTTTCCTTAACACTGTTTCTGAACAAAATATATAAAAACTAGTTGATAACATTTAATCACACAAATTACAACTGTTTTAATGACTCAAAGGTTTTGCCAGAGTTTCTTTTTTATACTGATGTTTCAAAACATGTTGTTAAACAGAGTTAACTAGTATGTCCATCTGATGTACTGAGAAGCAGAAGTTTCAATAATGGATGCAGGAAACTGAACTATAGGATGACTTGAACACAATACAGTAGAATCCCGATTTTTATGATCTTATGTACGACCTGTTATAGGAACAATTTTTTTGCTGCTGAAGTTGTCATTCTGCTGCCAAATATAACTTCAATCCTTCAGTCAACATTCAAGCGCCTGTAAAGGTTTGAAAGGACTGAGAAATTTGGTGACAAAAAAAAGAGATGCAGTACTCCCAAACTAATAAAAGTCAAGCACACTATACATTTGTTACTATTCGTTACGTAAACCATCAATGACCGATTAATACATTAATTTATGTGCCATATCTACTCTTATTTTGAGAGTTTCAATTTTATAAGCTCTTCAATCAGTTCACGAAATAGAGGTTCTACTGTACATGGCAGCTATACCTGACTCCAGACTTTATTTGCATCCTTCTAAGATGCTCTCTCTGAGTTTATGACAGCGAGTACTACAGAGCATATTGACTTTCCTGCAGCTCCACTTCTCACTAGCACAGAAATGACAGCTGTATTTTAAGCCACTCTGACCACCATGTTTCATACTGACAGCCTTTCAGACATTGATTTCCACTGAAGGAACCTCAGCTACAGTTATCAAAAGCACTGCATAGCTGCTGCTCCATAAACCTGGGATAATTTTTCCCATAGAAGATAGACCATAATAAAGTTGCTTCAAGACACAAACTATTACGCACCTATTATCAGCAGAATTTTTCAACATATATAGAATATGCACAGTTGTGTTATTCCCTGGCTCAAATTTTGACAGTTTCCCAGGATTTTGTCCCTTTGCAGTTTGCTGGCAAGCTTCGTTTGAGGAGATGAAATCTTTTTAAGGACACTGAGGTGACACTTAGCTTTCAATGGAAGTGCTCACTAAATTCCTTTCCTCACTTATTGGTTTCCCACAGAAAACATATACAGATATAACAAATTTTGGCTACATATATAAAGACAGTCTTCATAGAGAAAGGACTCAGGACCTTCAAAAGCAAAACTACAGCCCTTCTACCCCTTGAGCTAAACTCCAATCACTGTCAGTAAATAACAGGCTCTTAAAAATTTACTTGGCCAGCAAGTAGAGCAGCAGTTCCCAAACTATGAGTCATGACCCCAAATGGGGGTCGCACCATTAGCAGATTGGACCTGCGACCCCACAGGCCAGATTTGGCCTGCAAGGTGATGGGGTCTGCCCCAGAACGTGCCCAAAACTTCACCACAAGTGCCGTGCCAGAAGGCCACCATTTTGATCTAGTGGTGTACACAAGGTTACGCTGGGTGGAGACCACCATTTTGTAAAATGTCAGCCTCCGGGCCTGGCATTTGTGGAGCAGGTGAGGACATGTTGGCTGTACTGATGCTATTTTATCATTTGCACCATCCGGCATCTAGTCAAGAGACTTGAATCCAGAAGATCCTTATCTGTGGACAGCGGTCTTAACATAGCATCCTCTCTGCTTGAGCTGGTAGCCTGTGCTAGCCTTTTCTGAGATGGGAATCGCAGCGGCTTGTAAGCTCCTTAAGGCAGAGCCCATGTCTTCTTTTATGCCACCCTGAATACCCTGCAGGCATGCAATAAAGAACCATTGTAAGTCACTGTTTCTGCGCTGCCCTACCATCACCACACAGGGTCTTCCTAAGTCCTGGCCTCACTTGCTTACAAGTGAATTCCTCTTTCTGATTTGTGATAAGAGGCACAATGGACTCATTTTTACGCAGAGTATCTGCTTCAACCTCCAGCAGAGAGTCTAGCGATGCAGTTCTGAACAGAAAACAAGAGTGCAAGAAACATGCTTGCAAATCTGATGAGGCTTTCTTGGAATATGGCTTCACCAGTGTTTTCGTCAAGAACAAAGAAAGGCCGAAATGCCTGCTATGACACACGGTGTTATCTAGCTAAAGCAGGATGCCTCATAACCCTTCACAAGTGCTCAGTGTCCTCTGGCTGCCCTGCTGGCTGGAGCTCTCCTTCCTTCTCCTCTCCAGCTGCCCTGCTGGCTGGAGCACCTTCTCCCTTCCTTTTCCTGGACTGCTGCTGCTGGCTGGAGTGTTCCCTCCCTGGACTGCTGTTGCTGCCACTGCTGCTGAGCGCGGGGTGGGGGGGCCTTGCCGGCCGCCCCCCCCCCCCTCCCCACCACCTCTGGAGGGAGAAGTCGGGACCCCACCTTCACCATCGTTGCTACCACCTGTGCGGGGTCCTTCCTCCTGGCTGCTGGGGTTGCTGGAGCTGCTGCTGCTGCTGCTGTTGCGTTTGTCCTGTTGTTGAGTGGACCATCGGCTGTTGGGGGAGCGCACAGGACTCTGGAGACCACTGTGGAGGGGGCCATTCAGGACTGAGTAATTTTCGAACTGTGCTCTAGTGGTGGGGGTCTAGACTGTGTCTGTGGGGACACAGGGGGTGTGGCGTGGAGCCTGCCCCCTGGTCCATCTGTGTCCCCCCCCAAACCCCCACCACCACCGTTGCCCCCTCCACCACCCCCACAGGCCATTTACCATCTGCCTCCGCTCCTGCCTCTGGGACTCTGCTGCTCTCCTGGCCTGTCGCGCCCTATTGCCATCATTTAGGCCTGCAGCAGCAGGCAGCTCGCACGTTGCCTTTTGGTGCAAGCGCTCGTGGGCGCACCTACCCCCCCACACCCTGGACTGACCCCTTCCCCTTTGCACCAGGCCCTCCAGCTTTGCCCCTTGCTGCCTGCCCCATTTGCCCTCTGTAGCCTTTTGCCACCTCCAGCTTCGGTTTGTTTGCCTGTCCCGCCCCTTTCCCTCTGCAGTTTGGTTCACTTGTCCCACCCCAGCCCTACAGTTAGATCTTTGGTTCCTCTGCCCCATTCCCAGCCTGGCTGCACCCCTTCCTTCGTGCCCCTCTTGCCCTGATTGACCCCCTCCCCTCGTGTGCCCATGCCCCCTCCCATGCGCTTGTGCCTCCCACCCTGTTTTGGTTAATCACTGCACCCCCTGATGTTATTGTGACCTTCCCTCCCCCAGTGCAGCTAGAGGAGCCGGTGTCGGTGACTGCCCCCCCCCCAAGCCTCTAAAGCCCCCCAACCCCCCCCTCCCCTTTCGGCGCCCTCCTCCCCTGCCTGGGGAGGAGCGGTTGACCTGCTTTCCCTCCCCCCCCCCATTTTTCTTCGGTGTGTTTTTCCCTCCCTCCCTGTTCATTATGGAGGGGAACACGGCGGGCGAGCCCCCCCAAGTAGGCCCTGCCACCCCTCCCCCGCCTGCCCCCTTAGCCTCTTCCTCAACCGTCGCTGCCAAACCACCTGCCACCGCCCCCGCTGCGGCAGCGGCGGGCGACGGGGTGACCTCCGCTGCTGCCACGTCCCTCGCCCCCTCCGATTCTGGGGGAGCCGCCCCAGCCGGCAGGAAAGGCCAGGGCAAAAAGAAAGGAAAGAGCCCTGCTAAGACGACTGGGCCCTCCATGGCAGGGGCTGCCCCCACTGCCGCGGCCCTGCCACTGGCCGCGGCGTCCCTTCCCGCTGCTCCCTCCAACAGCTTTGCGGGTGCCCATCCCCCGGCCACCAGGGCGTATGCCCAGGTGGCAGCGGCCCCCCTGCCTGCCGATACGTCATCTTGTCCATCCACCGCCTCTGCTTCCATCTATAGTGGCCGGGGCCCCTTTCCCACCTTGACTAGGAAGCACGGCGTCCGTTGCCGCCTGGTGCCCGCCTCGCCCCACGTGGAGACCTAGGTCCGGGCGTTGGTGAGGGTGGTGGGGCCCACGGCCATCGTGGCGGCCTCCAAAATGTATGGCAAGGTTGTCTTCTTCCTTGCCTCAGAGGCCGCTGCCCAGGAGGCGGTGGAGAAGGGCCTGGCGGTGGGGGGCGTGTTCGTCCCCCTGGAGCCGCTGGAGGACCTGGAGGTGTCCGTGTGGTCCTAACCTCCATTCTTCCTTTCCACGCTGGAGGTGTCCGTGTGGTCCTAACCTCCATTCTTCCTTTCCTCCCCAATGTCGCCCTGCTGCCTGCCCTTTCTACCCTGGGGAAACCAATCTCCATCATCAGCCCTCTCTCGCTGGGCTGCAAAGACCCCGCCCTCCGTCACGTCCTCTCGTTCCGCCGGCACGTGCAGCTCCAACTGCCGCCAGCGGCGCGTGGCAGAGAGGCGCTCGAGGGGTCTTTCCTGGTCCCCTATCAGGGAGCCCATTACCGGGTGCACTACTCTACGGGGGAGACCCGGTGCTACCTCTGCCGGGCGATAGGGCAAGTCCAGAGGGACTGCCCATTGGCCCGGCACGGAGGAGCGTCCGGGACCCCTGAGCCCCGGCAGGGTGCCGGCCCCGTCATCGCCGGCGCCCTTGGCTGCCCGGTACCCGGAGCCGCCCCTCCTCCTTCTCAGACCGCCACTGCTCCCACTCGGGCCCAAGGGGTACCTCCCCCAACATGCCCAGACGTTCACATATCCGGGCTGAGTTCCTCTGGGCGGCGTCCACTGGCTCCCTTAACACCTTTGAGGAGCAGTGGGCACTGTCCGGGGTTCTCTGCTCGGTGTCCCCATCCGGTTCCCTTCTTTTGACCCTTTGACCGCACTCCTGTCCCTGTTTTTACATTAGTTGTCCCCCGTAATTATTTGAGTTTCAGGCCCTGTGGATCCTCCCCTTAGGCTGGGGGGGACCAATTTAAAAAAAAACACCCTTCACAAGGAACACACAGGGAAACCAAGGTCATTTTTCCAGCGCTGGAAAGAAAAACTTTTGCATCAACAAGTGCAATTCAAGAGATCCATGTCCGTCTCTGACCACAGTCAAAAGGCATCATTTCAGGTGAGTGACTGCATTCGGTAAGCCAAGGAGCCTCACACAATTGGAGAGACTTTAATTTTGCCAGCTGCAATTGATATGGTGAAGATAATGTATGGGGAAACTGAGGCAAACAAACTCAAAGCCATATCACTCTCAAACAATACAGTGAAGCAATGGATTAAGGCAAGAACAGCAGATCAGGAAAACACACTGGTGGAGCATCTGCCAAACACGTATGCTTTTGCTCTTCAGGTTGATGTGAGCACTGAGGATTGTGATGCACATTTCTTGGCTTTGTGAAATACACAAATGCAATTCTCCAAGACATTCTGTTCTGTATCCCTCCTCTCGGACATGAGATGACACAAGGAATGTTGGATGTACTACACAAGTACATGCAATATAAAAATATCCCGTGTGATCGCATGGTAGGCTTTTGTACAGATGGAGCTCCCTCTGTCTATGGCAGGCCACAAAGCAGGTGTATGTGCCTTGGTAAAGAAAGTTGCTCTGTCTGCTGTGTAAGCTCACTGCATGACTCACGGAGAACAGCTGGCTTTTAAAGCTCTGAGTCCAGAGTTAGGTGAAGTTTTGCAGCAGATCTTGTCTATTGTGAACTACATTAGGTCTTAGCCTCTACACGTGTGTCTGTTTGCAAAACTGCATGAAGACACGGGGTCCGATCATTACATGTTGTTGTTCCATCCTGAAGTTCGTTGGCTATCAAAAGGAAAAACATCGGGACAATTTTTTGAACCAAGAGATGAGCTGCGTGCCTGTGGGATGGACTGCACAAAGAGTGAATTCATTGACTTTCTATGTGACCAAAGGAAGATGTGCTTTCTTGCCTATGTCACTGACATATTTGGGAAACTGAACGAACTGAATACGGGTCTGCAAGGAAAGAACACCCACATGCTTCAGCTGAGTGATTGAATCACAGCATTCATGAAGAAAAGTATTTTCTGGAAGAATAATCTATTGAAGACAAACTATGAATTCTTCCCACAGCTTTGCAAGTTCCTGGTTAATTTTATTGTTATTCAGCCTCCCACACAGGTAATGGCTGAGCATCTCAGCCAGATGGGGGAACAGTTTGCATTCTTTTTCCCTGACTGGGACATGACAAAGTGGGTGCGAAACTCCTTTCTTTGCAAGCCTAATGCCATAGAATTGCCAGCAGCTGAAATTGAACAGCTCATTGAAATTTCCTGGGATTGCTTCTTGCGAGGAACATATGCCCAGCTTATGGTCCCAGAGCTCTGGTTCACTGTCAAGAATGAATATCCTGCACTCTCAACACACGCCTTGAAACTGATAGTACCATTTGCGAGCATGTATTTCTGTGAGGCTGGATTCATCCCACATGTGCCAATCAAGTCTCAGTATCAATCTACCACTGATGTCACATTGGAGATTAAATGTGCAATGTCTCAAAGCCACCAGACTTTGAGAAGCTGTGTCGCAACATACTAGCCCATATGTCACATTAGAGAGCATTAAATAACATACTTAATATGTAAATTCCTTAGATCCCGTGGTCACTATGTTGCTTTGTTTTTGTCTAGGGTCACAGGAAACAGTAAGTCTCAAAATGGGGCAAAAAGTTTGGGAATCCCTGCAGTAGAAAGAAACAATCACATGCACTAAAACAAGTCTGATGCATCAAAGCCTGCATGTGCTATTGGCAGACACACACTGCAGTATTCAAGACTGCAGCAGCCACTTGGAAATGATACCCAATCAAGCACAATCGTGTGACATTTTGTATCTGAGTCACTCCTTTGTTGCAAGGTTACAAGAAGTGCAAAAAGAAACGTGGAAGGCACTAACAATGTTCTCCTCCTCTATAGCTGGAAATAACAGCTTTGCCATTTAATCTGAATGCTTATTTGGTGAGGCTTCACCATAAGCACTGTAGGTGAGCAATGTGGGAGTTTTATCATTTGAAAAGTCCTCTGAAAGAAGTAACAAAGGCTGGGTGCTCTCGCTGTCTCAGAGTGAAAATCCCCAGTCATTTCAGTGACAGCCAGGGCCGGCTCTACCATTTTTGTCGCCCCAAGGAAAAAAAAAAAAAAAGAAAAAAAACCCCCTCCCCCCCCCCCGCCCGAACTGCCAAAGCGCAAAAATAAATAAATAAATAAAAAGCTGCCCGGACTCTGCCGCCCCAAGAATGGACGGAATGCCACCCCTTAGCACGTGCCGCCCCAGGCACATGCTTGCTCCGCTGGTGCCTGGAGTCGGCCCTGGTGACAGCTGTGTGGATTTTAGTTCAGAAAATAATCTGAATGAGCCAGTCTATTGACAGCAGGAACTAAAAGTATCCACTTGCTCTCTTCAGCCTTCTAAGCACCTGAATTGCTTATTTCAAAGATGGATAAAACCCATTTCCTATTTTTCAAAAGCAAGGGGTTTTTGTGTGCTGATTTTGCATAACAGATGACTTTCTCTCCACATTTTTCACAAAAAGTAACATTTTATATTTGCAGCTACACCCTCACTCGCTCTCTCTCTGTCCAGACTGTTGTTATGCTTTCTAACAAACTAAACACACAAGTAACATTTGGGATACTCTGAGGCGAATGGGGGTGAATATAGCCATATGCTGCTGAACTGAGCCTGAAAGCTCCTCCCTCCTGACTGCCAGGGACCTGTGTTTAGAGCCTTCCCTGGCTTGTCTAAGTGCATGACTGGGCCTGTCGTCCTCAGCCTTGCTCCATTCCTTCACCCTATACACCTGTAGGAAAGCTAAGCAGGGAACAAACTCCCAGCCAGTGTTCAGGTGGGACATTGCACCTGTCACAAGACAATTTTATTTCCTTTTTTCCTATTCCATCTCTCCTGCCCCATAAGGAATAACTTCATGCCCAGAGAGGTGTGATTTCAAAAATTATTTGAGGGGCAGGAGCAGGTGGAGAGTGACGAACTGGCACTCTAATCCCCAGAGACGAAGCATGGCTCATTTGCATCGTGCTCATCTGCCGTATTCCCATGCCTGATCTCAAACCTAAAACTCACTCTCAGTCCAACTGACCTGCTTTCTTTGTGAAAGCAAAACCAAAGGCATTAATTGTCGTATCAAATATTCACACTATTTTGGTGATGCTTCAATTATCAGTTTCCTGACTACAAATCTAGGAATGGTCTCACCTGGACAAGGCTTGGAAACATGCCTGACGAACCATATCCCTGACATAAAGGAGAGGTTGTCTTGTTATAGAAGAGAGGGGTTTACAGAGGTGGATATGATACAGGATCGCTTCCAGGTCTGTATACAGGCGCTGATGGAAAGACAGCTGTGAGTTATATAATATATCCAACCTTCCATTTTCAGTTCTGTGAGTCCTGCAACAGAGCACCACAAGAGCAACGTTACAAAACCAGTCTATCTCATGAATCCCACAGTGCTGCAGCATAATCCCTTATGAAAAACTGTCTTGTCTTTGTTCTTGTAGATGGAACCTGTTGCCATTCTGACACTTTATGCCAAGTGTTTTAAAAGAACAATAACAACTTTTTTTTTTTTTGCAAAACACCTGCCATGAATTATTATAAAAAAACCCCACCCTCATATTTAACCACACTATGTAATATTCTGCAAGGCAGTTTACCAGAGTACCAAATTTACCCTTATTATAGTTACAAAAACAGTACAATATCAGTTACCAGGGTAGAAATAGAATCAGAGATTTACATGATCACAACAAGAAAGGACTTTTTTACTGAAATAAATCATTTCAACAATTTGAAGGGAACAAGCATGCAAAGAAAAATAAATAAATTAGGAAAGCAATTAACAATGTTTCTGTATTCCTTCAATGCTTAAAAAAAAGAAATGAACTCTTTTTAAAATCTGGAAATCTGAGGAAGACCCACATTCACTACAAATCCTGTAGGCGTTATATAAGTGAAAGGGGAACCTTTTAGAAAAGATTATAAATTGTACACAGTGTTTGAGTGTGTGTGTGTCTCTCTCTAAAAAGTCAATGTCCCCATTCATTTCGGTGAAATTTGTGTGGGGTAAGTAATCTGAACTTTCTAATCACAAAAGTACCCAAATTCTACCTGCAACCTTCTGAATATCCCCTGGTTTAAAAGTATCAGAAACTCACTGTGCCACTCCAGTTTGTATCTATGTGCCCATTACTACACTACAGTATTTGTGTTACTTGTCCAAAAATTCAAAGCGAAGAATACATCCTTAGCACTAAGCTGCCATGGAAAGAATTCTTATGGGCTCCATCCTGGATTGAAGTCAATGGGAATACTCAAATAAATAAAGATTACTCACATGAGTAAGGCAGGTTCAGAGTTGGAAAGTTGGAGTGGGGAGGCAGAAACAGGATCCAGACTTTTTTTACTTCTAGGACACTAACTCTAATCTAGACCAGACTGAGACTGATCCCAAATTGTTACCATTTGGTGGCCCACTTGAGACTATAAAACTCTTTTTAGTCCACTTCCCAGCACACAAATTGGGACATTACCCAGTTTCACGGCTTACACTAATTACCGTTAATCCTTGGTCTCAACCTCGGCAAACAAAAAACAAAATGTTTTAGTAGACAGCAGAGAGGCCAAGGATTGAATAGACACAGGGACTGAAAATTCAGCTACCCTACTTTGAGGTCAGGGGAAAATATGACAAACTCAAAGGCCACCAGAGAAAATTCTCATAGCAAATTTCAGAACTTATACAGGATGAAATATGAACACAAATATTTGTTTAGAATTATGTATTATGAGATAATCTGGGTAACCTGAGCATTTGAAAATGTATGTTATGAGAGCAGGAAGACAGAAAATAACAAACATTTTAGCCTGAGGGCCATTACTTTAACACACAGAAATAACACTCAGACTTCATGTGAAATACTCTTGAATGTCATTAGATTGCTTGAGTTTCCCTGTAGAAAGCCAAAAATCTATAGTCCACAGGGAAAGAATGATTTGGCAGGTTTGCTGTTGTGTGAATAAAGAGGAGACTTCAGTCTCCAGTGAAATCAATATACCACCTTCCACAAATACTAAATTCCCCTGGAAAAGATTTGCAATGCATTTAAAAGGTTGTATTTTAAGAGGGTTGCTGTCAATACTAATGTTCTTATAGGCAGTTTATCTTGAAAAGAATGAAGCAAAAAAAAAAAAAACTTTAAAAGTCCATAGGAAGTGATGTGCTTATTAAAAATATTAGTTACCATTTCTCTTAACATTAACATTTCAGTCCGGAGGATAAGTACAGTATATAATTGCAAGCCCTGGAGACTGAAATCCTTCTTGGGACAGCCTTGGCAAAATGCAAAATGTCAGAAAAAGAAGCTAGTCCACACAAGCTGTAGTACTTTTTTTCTGCATGAAATGGGGAACATACATGCACCCACACAAACCCCCGACCTTATGGACCTTCGGGAGAGAAAATGATACACCTCTACCCCGATATAACGCGACCCGATATAACATGAATTAGGATATACCGCGGTAAAGCAGTGCTCGGGGGGGGGGTCAGGGCTGCGCACTCCGGTGGATCAAAGCAAGTTCGGTATAACACGGTTTCACCTATAACACGGTAAGATTTTTTGGCTCCCGAGGACAGCATTATATCGAGGTAGAGGTGTACATTGTATTTTCACACACAAAAAATCCCCTGAAAATAAATTTTTTTAAGTACTGGGCAACGAATAAAAATGATTTAAAGTATTAAGTATAGTTGTGTGTACCTTGTCTCGTGGAACCTGTAGAAAATTGTAGCACATTTAAAAGACAATGTTGAGGCAAGAGCTGCAAGATAATTGAAATTACCTATAAATTTCCAGGTGTACCATATATTTGCACAAACAGATTTTGGATAAAATTTTCAGACGGGCCTAAGTGACTTAGGAGTCTAAGCCCCATTTTCAAAGGTGATTAGGCTCTTAGGCCCTTTTATAAATGTTACCACTAGACTCAGTATGGGTGCCTTTTTCATCTATATTTGGAGTTCATGACAACATTTCACCTGCCTGTGTTACACATCTATCATACTGTCCAAACAATTGCCAAGAAGGCATAGCCACTCTCAAGGGTTCTTTACATATTTTTAATTTTTTTTCCTTATACTCCTTCACTTATACTAATCTCAAGAAAACTTGAAATTGAAATATTTAATTACTAAATCTTATGTGTCTTCCATTATGTAGGTACATTGGTTTGTTATTGTACAATTAGTCAAGAAGAGAGAAAGAAATTCTAATTAACAATTCATTAAACGTGTTTCTACAAAAATTGTTATCAATGAAACAGATACCTGCCATTGTAACAGTGTGATGACATGATTTGATACACAGGAAATGTAGCTCGGCATCTGAATTAGAGATGGGCTCAAATAAACCGCAGATCCAAACACCCTCAAACTTTAGGGAAAGTTGGGTCTGAGTCAAAACTTTGAGCTCAGGCCATGTCTAACTTAAATGCAGAAGATAGGCAGGAAAATGGAAAGTTTAAGGAAACTTCTATTATTTAGAATTTTACTGAAGAAAATAGTGTGGTTTATACAAGATACATAGTAGCTTAAAGTGCCGTGTTGTAAATTTATAGTATTCTTCTAATCATAGCCCTCTGTGCATTGAAGGATTATCAGATAGCTGATAAAGATGTAAGGGTCAGTCTTCAGATTTTGACCCAGGCATTGGGTCAAATTCATATCTTGTATAACTCCAGAGACAACACCAGGGATGAAATCAAACAATTGTCTTTACAAAAGAAAAAAGAAATCAGCAACATTTTGTTTAAACCAGTTTAAATCTAGAGGGAAATAATTACTGAAAACATTAAACTATCTTACTTATCAAATTGCTGTTCCCACAGTCTCTTGATTGCTTTGTCCTTTAATCCTTCCAAGACTAAAAGATGAATTGTTCCATCCAGTATATGAAAACCAGTAATGATATCCAGCTCAGAAATTTCCTTGGTCGCAGTTTTCAGTTTGAAAGTAGCAAGAGCCATCTGAATTACTTGTAGAGGATAAGAATCCAGTTGGAGTGCTTCAGCATTAATTTCTGTAATCTCTTGCAGCAAATCATGTAAGCAAGGTGCATTATTGTAGTCAAAAATATAGATAATGCAACCATATGGGCAATCTGCAACTTCAGTGTCAGCAGTTTCTGCCTGCACACCTAGTGGCACAGCTATTTCAACTCTTACTTTCAGTACTGAGTCCGATTCTAGATAATGTCCCATAGGCAATGGAGAAGTCTGAGGGCCAGCCACTGATCCCAATACTCCCATCATTTTTTCAGTCTTACTATCCTTCTGGCAGCCAGGATCTGGAACTGAGCAGCTATGAATGGGCACACTGATATTCAAGTACTTTTCACCTAGCAGTAGGTCAGTTAGACTGACTTTAGCTACCCCATAGGGATGCCATAAATTGTCCTTTTCTGTAAATGGATTATAGGCTGTGTGTTTGTAAGAGACAAGACCCACATTACTCAGCTTTCCATCATCTAGCTCATCACCAAACAAAGAGGGTTTTTTAATGTCCTCTGCCATTTTTCTGTCCCGGTCATGAACCTCAATCTCCAAAGGTGGCCCTCTAAAATACTCACGCAATTCCCCAGGACTGATTGTCCCTGTTAGAATCACATTGACATCTTTAAAATAGATGTGAGTTCCATGGGTTTGCCCTTGCGTTTGATGAGGAGGGAGGTTGTGAAATTGGTATCTGCAGTATGTGGGAACACAGGTCGCCTACAGAAAAACCAAGGAAGAAATTGAAATACCTGTAGGGCTAACTTTTCCCTTCCCCTCGCCTTCCATCATACACTTTTCTAATGAGGAATGCTGAAAAAGCTCCTTTTGCAAACAGTCAGCATACAACTCCTTCAGTCATCTTATAGGGAGCTACTGGTGGGGACTTTTACACAACACCATAGCTACCAAATGCCAAATTCTGAAGTAGCAGAAATGCTGAGGGAACAGTTTGCTTCTGAAGGGCAAGGTCCTTTGGGAGGCAAACCGATACCATGGACCAAGGTCCACCACTGGGAAGTAGCTGTATCTGCACTTGCAGAGAGAACCATGAGGGGTCAATGCAGCAGCAAGTGAGCAAAAATGGCATGGAAGGGGCAGGACTAATGTGTGATGATTCCCTGGCTCCATTCAGACATGTTGTTTGCCCATCTGTAAAATGGGATCATGTGCTTTGAACTCTAACGTACCATTTCAGAGCTAGGTACTAGTGCTCCTGTGTAAACCTGGCACGAAGGAAAGTCTGACGTACCCTCTATCCTCAACAGCAGTGACTCTCCCCGAGCCAATGCCATGAGTTACTGGTGCAGAATACACTAGACTCTGCATTTTATAGTCCAAGCACAAACTTTACTAAAGTCCTCCAAGGCAGTTAGCAGGGCATTTTGTGTGAGGTTCCTCGACTTTAGAACTTACTCCCCTCTTGGTCCACTGGAACCTTATTAACCTTCAGGTACACTGAAAAGCCCATCTTTATTCTCAGGCCACTACAGAAGGAACAGGATGGGGACTGGAGTGGTTTATATTTATGAGTGGTCCTTTAGTACAGTTACTCCTCACTTAAAGTCGTCCCGGTTAATGTTGTTAAGTTGCTGATCAATTAGGGAACATGCTCGTTTAAAGGTGTGCAATGCTCCCTTCTAACATCGCTTGGCAGCCGCCTGCTTTATCCACTGCTTGCAGAAGAGCAGCCCGTTGCAGCTAGCTGGTGGGGGCTTGGAACCAGGGTGGACTGGCAGCCGCCCTATCCAGGGCCGGCTCCAGGCACCAGCGCAGCAAGCAGGTGCTTGGGGCAGCCAACGGAAAGGGGCGGCACGTACGGCTCTTCGGCAGCAATTCAGCAGCGGGTCCCTCAGTGTCTCTCAGAGGGAAGGACCAGCCGCCGAATTGTCGCCGAAGAATGAAGCAGCGGCAGTAGAGCTCCCGCCGAAGTGCCGCCGATCGCGGCTTTTTCCCCCACCCCCACCCCCACCCCTTGGGATGGCAAAAACATGGGAGCCAGCCCTGCCCCTATCAGCTCCCCACACCCCTAAGTTCCCAGTGCTGCAGCCGCCCAGCAGGCTATCAATCGGCAGTTCAGCTGTCCCTCCCCCCACTGCCATGTGCTGCTCCTGCCCTCTGCCTTGGAGCTGCTCCCAGAGACTCCTGCTTGCTGTGCAGGGGAGGAAAGGGGAGTGCTAATGTCAGGGTGTCCCCCTCCCCCCTGCTCTTGCACCCCACTTACCCCTTCTCCATAGAGAGCAGGGAAGGGAAACGGACGGAGAGAGACAGAGAGAGCTTGGGGCAGCAGCTGCTGTCTCAACTTCCTGATCCGCTTAAAAAGACAATGCACTTAAGAGTGGGTCAGCTTACTTAAAGGGGCAGTGTGCATATCTCTCTCTCTCTCTCCCACACACAAGGTGTGTGTCTGTCTGCTATGCTGTCTCCCCTCCCTCGTGTTCGTGCTGCCTTGTGTGAGAGGCTACATTAACAACAATGTGTTAAGCCTTGAGGGCTCATCCGAGTGCTAGTTCATCATTTAGCAGGAAGGCATTCCCTGGGAAATATCCCACCCTCTTCCATCCTCTAACTTCACCACCTCAACCAAGCTTCACAATCATCATAGCAGTGAACAGTATTAAATTGTTTGTTTAAAACGTATACTGTGTGTATATCTATATAATATATAGTTTTTTGTCGGGTGAAAAAAAATTCCCTGGAACCTAACCCTCCCTATTTACATTAATTCTTATGAGGAAACTGGATTCACTTAACATTGTTTCACTTAAAGTCGCATTTTTCAGGAACATAACTCCAACATTAAGTGAGGAGTTACTATACTAGTGTTTTTCCCTGTTACTTTCCAAAAATGTAGAGCCAGCTGATCTGAAATCATGCATGGACTGCATTATGAAATTCCACCGTGGAATTCGATGTGTCATTACAAAGTTCTGTAAGGGCGGTTACGCTCTGGAATAGACTTCCAAGGGAGGTTGCAATATCCCCATAACTGGAGGTTTTTAAGACTAGGCTGGACAAAAGCATACCAGAGATGGTCTAGATTTGCTTGATCCTTCCTCAGTGCAGGGGCTGGACTTGAGGACCTCTCAAGATCCCTCCCAGTCCTACACTTAGGATGTAAGGTTATTAAACTCTTTGATCAACATTTCCAAAAGTGACTACTGATTTTGTAACTTTTTCAGAAGTGCTGAGCTTCCATAATTCCAAGAGAAGTCAATGGGAGTTCTGGGTGCTCAGCATTTCTGAAACGTCAGACTCCAGGTTTTTCAAGATATGCACCCAACAAAGGAAGCACGCAATATTAGAGGCCACTTTTAAAAGTGCAGCTGTTTGTATTTAACTGAGCAGTAAAATTTTACTCCTCTCTTTAATTCCATATCAACTAATGTATTCAGCTAAAGGGCTTTCTCTTTTGAAAAGGAATCATTCAGAAAGCCTAAAAAATCCAAACATTTGAAAAGAAAAGTGTTTTGTCCCATAACTTATTTTATAAAATCTATACAAAGCTTTACTTGTCTTCAGAGAGTTAAAGGACCAGAACTCTTGGGCTATATCCTCACCAATGGTGAACTGGACTCATTATGTACAAAGTTTGGGATTTTATTTAGTTCTGCTAAGAAGTGAAACATGCACAATTTCTCTAGTTAAATAAATTCTCAATACAGGAAAAGCAATCATCTTCATTAAAAAAAAAATCTCTGAGCACTAATTTATAAGCAAACTATTTCAAACTATTTGGTATTGTGACTCAAACAGTTCCCCTGTTTGTCCAAAGAATCAGAAGGGGAAAAATTGCTTAGGAATGAAAGCATGATTACTAAGTATAAAGCTACAGTCCATAAGTTTTGGCCCATGCAACAGGATTATTGTTTTTTTTTGCCAGTACATAATGTAATGGAAGGAGACAATTTGGCCACATATTCCTTCCAGGAAGTCTATGTCTTATGCATGTTCTGCAAATGTTGTGAAGCACAACCTGGCAAATAGGGAACATTCCTGTTCAAAAGTGTATTCCATATTTTAAAGGAAGTCACCTCAGGTTAAACTGACAAGTGGAATCCTACAGAAAGAGCAGCGTTCTCGATTACCTGCAGCACTTCAATTGGGACAGGAGTCATCGGGAGGCATGTAGCAGAATGAATCTTAATAATCAGTGGATTTAATTCCCTTATCTGTCTCTCAGACATAAGAGGTTCTTCTGTAGTGAAAGTCACATAAGCATCTAAAATCTTAGGGGATTTCTCTTGCAGTCGACTGATCACTAACCTTTCCCCTGTGAAAAAATATTAAATTAAATATTAAATGTTTTGAAAGCAGCGGCATCAAAGAAAGACTGCTTAATACCACTGCTTCAGTTAGTAACATATGCTGGCACTGGAGCAGCATTGAAAATGAAATACAGTGATATTTTCAATTGCTCTAAATATTATAATTATTTATTATCTGTACAGTAGAACCTCAACGTTATGAACACCAGAGTTACGAACTGACCAGTCAACCACACACCTCATTTGGAACCAGAAATACACAATCAGGCAGCAGCAGGGACCAAAAAAAAAGGCAAATACAGTACAGTGTTAATAGTAGACTACTAAAAAGAGAAAGGGAAAGTTAAAAAAAAATGTTGACAAGGTAAGGAAACTGTTTCTGTCCTTGTTTCATTTAAATTAAGATGGTTACAAGCAGCATTTCTCTTCTGAATAGTAAAGTTTCGAAGCTGTATTAAGTCAATGTTCAGTTGTAAACTTTTGAAAGAACAACCATAATGTTTTGCTCAGAGTTACAAACATTTCAGAGTTACGAACAACCTCCACTCTCAAGGCGTTTGTAACTCTGTAACTCTGTATTACAATAGAAACTAAAGGCCCCAATGAGGTCAGGGCTTCATTGTGCTAGGTACTGTACAAACCGCTTTTGTAGAGACTTACAAATAAACTATTCACTATAAATATAATATGAAGCTATTATTATACTTGTTAAAAGGAGTTTTTTCACCAAAAGTTTAGACATTTGGTTACAAATAGATAAATGTCTTTAAAAAGAAAGATCAGCTATTTTATGTGCTTTCTTTATGATTCACCATGTTATACTTAAAAGAAATCTGTGACATGTATATTGAACTACTTTCACTATTTCAGAATCAACTTCCTGGCAACGGAAGTAGAGATAGATATTCAGTAGATATTTCAGTTAGGACTCAGCAAGTTTGATATGTAACACCAAGGCCTGACCTTCCAGACAGGAACAGCTAAGTTGCAAGCACATCAGCCCACAAATGTCATTAATGAAATAGCACTGTAGGTTTGGTTTGTCTGAAGCATATGACAAGTTGCAAATACTTACGGCAATGCTGAGTTAATAAATAAGGATTTTTACACAAGAATGGCCACAGACAAGGATTTAGAATAATCAGCTAAAATTGCTCATTAGCATCTTTACTAGGGCTTTTCCTCCAACTTTTCAGGCAAAATTTTTAACAGGCTTTCTGAAAATGCACCCAAAAACTTTGCAAACGTATTCATTGGCACTGGCAAATCATCCCTTTGATACTTGCATATGTGTATTTTTGCTAACACAAATATCTTAAAATTTTTGTAGGCCCATTGAAAACATGGAATCCCGTCACAAAATGCTTTAGTAGGCATTCAAAATACTGACCATTTTCATACAATCATTCCCTCAAATCCCTGCCTATAACTGCAGTTGTCTTTTTAATATCTTGTATTAATTGCTTTGCCCAAATTCAGTCCAAATAGATGTAATTGGTCATTACCAGTAGCCTAGACATGATTGGTTGGGAGATCAAACCTTTAGCAATACAAACAAAATACAGATTTATTGCTGGTTTTGCCCATTTTAAAATATCTGTTTGACATAAGGGGATCACAGTAAACTTTTTACAGTGACAGGATCTTCAGCCATTTCTGTTGTTCTAAGATGCTGAGGAGAACCATGGATTTGGAGGCTGCAGAATCACAGATAGGCAGCAGGATAGCAATCACAGTCACATCGATTACGAAGTAGTTATTTACAGCAGAGCCATGTGGTGCAAAAACTGGTGCAACTACAAAGCAGTTTGGCTCTGATTGGGTCCTGTGGAAAGTAGCTGCTAAGAGAATCTACCTACCTATCTTAGGTACTTACATGACCCCATTACCATAATAGCTGAGCATTAATATACTCATCCTCGCACATGCTGTGAGGTAAGGCAGTGCTATTATTTCCATTTTACAGATGGGGAACTATGGCACAGAGAGGCTAAGTGTCTTGCCCAAGCTCACACAGGAAGTCTGTGGTGCTCCAAGATTTCCCAAGTCTAAAACTAGTGCCCTAACCACTGGACCATCCCAGATTTCAAAATGGAAAACCTGGTGGGCACAGGGTTGAGGGCACTGAAAGCTCTACATTCCTTTCCAGTCAGGTATCACCTTACCTTTCAGAATAAGAACTGGGACATGAGGCAGAGACAGGCAGGTCAAGAAAGAGAAAGAAAAAACCCACACAGAGTATTTACACCTCCATATTAAACTTCACTGTTTTCTCCCAGCATCACAGTTTCCATCCTATTTATCATGGACCAGGCTCCTTTCTATTTTTAAATCTCCCCACACTGCCTGTCTGATCTCTTGCTTCTCTCTCCCTTGTGTCTCTATAACCTGGTATCTCCTGTTCTTCTGAATTTTCTATTCTCTTGCATTTTCTCTCATTTCTTGTCCTTTGCTACTCACTCTTCTTCTCCAAACTAATGCTGCATGTGTGCCCCTCCTCCCGCTCTTTTCACCTCTCCCGCTCTCTCTCATTCACCCTCTTCTCTCCCCTCAGTGCATTTCCCCATCAAAATGTCTTCCTTTATCCTCTCCAAAACCAGCACCGCTCCTCCTTACCCATCACCCCCGCCCCAAAAAAGGCTACTGCCTTTTCTCCCTCTGACCTCATGTCTGACCAGAGGCTTGGAAGCTCAGAGAGGAACCAGGTGGAGGGGCTTGGAAGCCAGAAGAGCAGCCAGTATGCAAAGGGTAGGCAGCAGAAGTTACGTTCTTGGCTGTACAGGTGACTGGGTCACCAGATTCATGGGCACAACAGTGCAGAGAGAGGCAGCAGGGAAGGGGAAAGGCAAATTGGAATAAAGCCTACAATCCTGTAAATCTTCTCCAAGAGGCTGGGTAAGCCCAACACCTGAGTGTTAAACATGTTGTCTTTTTTGTTCAAATAAACAAGGAGAGCTTTCATTTGCAGTCAGTGTGTCAGAGTATGTCAAATAATCAGTGTGACCAGAGCTCAGGTACTAACTGCATTAAAATAAATTGGGAGGGAAGAAATTAGTGTAAAGCTTTAAATGTATAGCCATACCAGCAGGAAGACACTGAAGGGTACTGCTGTAAGAAGTTACCAAGTACCAAAGGTTTTTACAGAAGATACTATGGAAGCAAGATAATCGTTCCGTGGATCTATCAAAGCTCTTGGGGTTTCAGCTTCAAGTCAAAACAATAGAAAAATTGTAGGAAAGAGCTACTTTGTATGCATGGAACAAATAAAGCAAGTGCACAACCCCAGAGGCTGTTTGCCAACCTTTCTAATGGAACTGAAGTTACCATGGCTATTTATTTTCAGGTTTCTGCTCCAGGAGCAGCAGCAGCTGTGAAGTTCGAAGGAACGTGAACAGCTCTGTAAATAATGTTGGGTGGTTACCAGCAGAGGGAAAACGTCATTCTTTGAGAGTATGACACAAAAGTGGCTCCCTCCTATACATGAATTTCTTGTTTACACTTACCGAGGGATCGATGCATTGGCGGGAGACCCGCTAAATCAACCACAGATCACTCTCCCATCAACTCCTGTACTCCACCGGAACGAGAAGTGCAAGGGGAGTCGACAGGAGAGCGTCTCCCGTTGACGTAGCATACTGTGGACCCCGCAGTAAATAGATCTAAGTATGTCGACTTCAGCTACGTTATTCACATAACTTAGATCGATCTCCCACCGTAGTGTAGACAAGACCTTAGTAATGACTTGTTGTTGTGGGTTTTAAAAATCAAACTAAACCAATCTAGAATTCCTACGACATTCCTCACTTGTCACAATCTTTAGAAAGACAAGCAGCACAGGCTCAAAATGTGATCCCTTTGAATGAAAATGCTATTACATACAAACCCCAGACATACTTGCCACTTCCCTTTTTTCCAGATTAAACTCTTTCCCAACCTTAAAATATGAAATTGGAGATAATGAAAAACTGTTTCTTTTACAAAAGTAAAAACTTATAAGAAGTTTATAGTGAGATGGTATTTTGCATCTTTATTTATATGGCTTAATATTTCCACAGCACAGAGCAAGTATAAATTTTACAACCTTTATCCCTCTCCATGGCCCTTTTGGCTACTGTAAAAAAAATAGCTAGAGAGAAGCTGAATACTTATTTTTTATAATTAATTTTGGGCGTTAATAGAATCACCAAATTTGCCTTACTGTACACACATACACACACACAAACGCACCATATCAAGAGAAAGAGAAAAGACATACAGAGACACATAGATGCCACCCAAAGGTACCAAACAGGTCCACAGTATAGATTTGTAGAGTTTCTATATAAGTCCTGCAAAAACTTACACAGAAGCTTAGCTTTTATGCATTGAGTAGTCCCACTGAGGTCAATGGGTCTGTTCACAGTGCATAAAAATTAAGCAAGCATACAACATCTTTGTAGGCGCAGGGCCTACATTTTTATGTTGTTATCAACATTCCCTGTGTTCCTCCTTTTGGACAGAGTGCAATTCTTCAATTCCCATCCACACCTCTTTCCGTCCCGTCAGGCATTCCCTCAGCTCAACACATTCCCTCAATATTACAAAAAAGGAATATTTACTTACAACAATACGAACAAAACTGGACAAAGAGAGTGAACACAGTATGCATGAAAACCAGGAAAAAGAACAATATATGTAAACCACAAACCTTAACCCTAACCCTACCTAGAACATGCAGAGAAACTAACCTCTCCACCTATGAATAACACTCCACCCCAACAGGTCCTGAACCAAACAGGATACAATAAAGTGTATGTCTGCATTGTTAGAAGCCTGCAAGAGTCTTGTAACACTCTAATTTCCAGTTTCAGAGTAGCAGCCGTGTTAGTCTGTATCCGCAAAAAGAACAGGAGTACTTGTGGCACCTTAGAGACTAACAAATTTATTAGAGCATAAGCTTTTGTGGGCTACAGCCCACTTCTGCACACAGAGCTATAGGCAGATGTCAGGCTTCCCTGGTTCAAGTCCAAACCCCAACTAAACTTTCTAACCATTTTTCTTCTCCCCAGCCAGAACCCTCTTCCATTCCAGAACCCCAATGCTCCCCATGGTCATCTGCTATGGTAACTCCCAAAGTCACTTCTAGCATGCATTTGGGTGCTTTGGAAACCTGCATTTTCACATAGTCCCCCTTCCCTCCACCCCAGTACTGAACAGTACCTGAGAGGAGAGGCATGAGATCCAGTTGCAAAGATGCTATGCCACACTTCTTTGTTAATGCCGCAATCAGGGTCTGTGCATTGGACACTTTACGGTTGCTCTGCCTTCGTTCTTTAAGAGCAGGGCCTCTTTTAGGAGTAGAACTTTTCCTTTTACCTGTTGTTAGAGGTGAGAGAGTACTCCTTTAAGATTAAACAGGGCAAAAAGTTACAAACTTACTGGAATGGGTAGCATAGCCTGGTAGTGGCCAGAGTGTAAGACTTCAACAACGTACTCTAACTCTAAATTAGGCAAGTGATTTAATACACTTGATAAATCACTTCTATAACCTACTTCATACTATATATACACACACAAAAAACTTATGTTAAAAGAATGTTAAGATTTTGCAGTCAAGCACTTGAAAGTTAGAAAATTAGTAAGGATGCCTGTCTAATCTTAATTCGGCCCCCTGGTATGTATGTTTAATGATACAGTCCTTAATTACATTATCACATACTATTTTTTCCATAGGACACCTGCCTCATTCAGTGCACAGAATAGACCTGCTCTGGGAATTAGTCAGGGTTGCACTGTGATGGAGGCAGTCTGTAGGAACCTTATCTCATTTGTGGTGGAAGGTGTGTAGTGAATGAGGAAGAGGACTGCAGGAAGAGAAAGGATGGTCTTGTGGTTGAGGCAGATGCATGGTGCCTTGGAATGCTTCTCTCCCTGCCACTGAGTTCCTATGTGATACTAGGCAAGCCACCTAAACCAAACTTTTCACATATGGTCATTAATGTGTGCTCCTCTTTTCTGAGTGCATGGCTTGAGATCCTGGGGTCTGGTTCACAGAAGTGCTGAGCACTCACAACTGTGACTGAAGTCAATGGGAGCTGGGCTCTGATCATGTAACATGCTGTATAATGCTTACTATGTGCTGAATAATGGTGGTGCTACCTGTAATAAAGGGAGGGGGCAGGATGATCTCATGGTCCAGGTTCTTCCAGCACAGGATTGGAGCCAGAAGAACTGAACTGTATTCCACGCTTGGCCAAATACGTCCTCTATAATTGTAGGACAATCACTTGAGCTCTCTGTACACCAGTTTCCTAATTAATACAATAGGAACAATGGTATTTGCTTATCTCAAAGGGGTGTTGTGAGACTAAATTAATTCAGTCCCTTGGACTATATGTATTATGGGAGATGTGTACTGCTATATGCCATGATGCCGCATCAGCTGTCAACAGGATCAGCATGTTACATACCTTGAATGCATCAACAGATCCTGAAGTGTCCCTTATGGCATCTTTTACTGCCCACTCTTTGGCCATACATAGACATGCAAACAATGACATCAGCCAAGAATGAGAAGAAAAAATATCACAGCAGGGCATGGTGCCCTGTTCAACAGCATTGGTAGGGTAGAGGACTACACCCTGTGGCCTCTGGTGGCCAAAGAGAGTGTAGCAGACATGGAATGACAAAAGCCGATTGCCTAATTTCAGAATGAGTATGATTACTCTAGTGCCAACATTACTACTTGTATTTCTAGACACTGCTATAATGTACATTACCATAACAGTTGAAGTTTGAGAAGGGAGTCAATTAATTAATTAATCCTCACAACACCCCACGTGGAAAGTATCATCAGCATCCTCGTTTTACAGCTGCAAGATGAGGAAACTGAGACAGAAAAGTTAAGTGGCTTGCTGAAGGTCACACAGGAAATTTCTGGGAGAGTTGGGACCAGAACGCTGAGCCCACAATTCCTAGCCCTGTGCCTACACGACAAATACATCTGTGCAAACCTATTACACAGACAGAATTTCATGTTCCATTTATCTTTTAAAATCTGATTTTAGATATTATTCAAAAACTTACTACCTTTTGGATCTTTTTTGTCTGTGTGGTCTGCTGCATTTTCCAAGCTGAACTTCGTTTTCTCTGGCTTTTTTGGAATCACATAATCTGAAAAGCCAGCAATTGTATTCTGCTTCAAATAATTGCCCTCATTCAGGATTTTGTCTCTGTTAGAAAGGATACTTCCCGAAACACTAAAACGACTTGAAATGTGTACAAGAAATAAAGAAAAGAAAAAAAGATACTGTTATATTTGGAGAAATATTTGTATAAATTACACTTCAATGTTTTTTAAAATGGCTTATCTTCCCTGATAGTGAGAGTGGGACCAATTTTCAAAGGAGGTCTCCAAAATGATAGAATGCTCAAACCTTGCATCCGAGTCTGCATTGGCACATACGTGGACTTATGATAGTGCATGATGCTAACGTGCCCATCTCAAGTGCTAATTTATTTATCCAAATGCTGGCTTGAACATCTTATTTAGGCACTTAAGTTTGAAAATTGGGCTCAGTATATCAGAGGATAATCACTTTGTGGAATGGCCTTGACGTTGGCTTTGTAATGATCCCATACCAGATTCAAATTAGTGACAAGTGGAACAGAGCTTGTCAGCCATTTTCATACTGTACCTCCACACTAAGTCACTTGCAACCAGTCAGAAGATGTGCCCAGATTCCTAGGCACTGGTTACCATGACACTTCAAAGGATTGGCCTGGGCCTGCAGCACTTCATGTTGGCATACTTGGGACAAGTTCCAAGAGACAGAGCATGAAGATCAAACACAGTGGTTGGGAGCAAGCATGCCCACCCTTACCCCCCAAAAATTGATGGCAACCTCTGTGTGTGGAGACGGCATTGAACCAGAGGGTTGCACTCATTTTCACTAAATGGAGCAGATCACAGAGGTCCCCAGCTTTTAATACAGTGTGATTGCAGTGACTACAGGTTCCAACATGCAATGCTACATTTGAGCAAAACAAGTCTCCCTTCACTGTAGTTGATATGGAGCACTGAATGCAGAGATCTGCACCTCTATATAATTGAGGGGATTGCCTGAAATGTCTATTACAAGAGCTGAATTTTGGCCACTGCGGAAAAAAAGGGACCATACTTAGTTTATATTTCATAAAGGTCTTAATGGTCCACATAGGAAGGACCCAATCCACTAGTAGGTCCAATGGAGTCAACAGGACTTTTTTTTCATACGGGATGCAGGCTGAAGCCATTAATCTAAATGTTTATCAAACAGTGCAATGAGAGACATAAAGTGAGTTTGTGTATTGTCCCCAAACTTGAGAAAATGCTAAGAAAAGGTGTGAGAGCACAGATATACTTCTCCACCCTTAGCAGCTGGTACTGATGAAAACTATCACTTAGTATGGAAAGGCCAGATGGCCCAGCATGCGTTTCAAATAAAACCCCAAGCCTTAAAGAGTTCAACAGACAGAAAATGAATGAAAAGCTGATCAAAGCAGACAGGTCACCATAGGTTACTACGGTGATGAGGACCATATAAGTACCTGGACAGACACATCAGCAAACTTCCTCCTAGTATCTGATACAATACCTTAAATAAATAAATTTAAATTAAAGGAGATATCCTATCTCCTAGAACTGGAAGGGACCTTGAAAGGTCATCAAGTCTAGCCCCCTGCCTTCACTAGCAGGACCAAGTACTGATTTTGCCCAGATCCCTAGATGGCCCCCTCAAGGATTGAACTCACAACCCTGGGTTTAGCAAGCCAATGCGCAAACCACTGAGCTATCCCTCCCCCCTTCATGTTACTTTGCCCTTGAAGCAGGGCCGGTGCAACCCATTAGGCGACCTAAGCGGTCGCTTAGGGCGCTAGCATTTGGGGGGCGGCATTTCGGGTTATTCGGCGGCGGTGACCGCGGTGGCCGGAACTTCGGCCGCCCCGGGCAGTGGCAGCATTTAGGCAGAGGGAGCTGGGGCAGGGAGGTGCGGGGAGGGCTGCCTGCAGCAATTAAGGGAGGGGGGGCAGCACACAGGGGAACTCCCTGCCCCAGCTCACCTCTGCTCCGCCTCCTCCCCTGAGCACGCCGCCCCACTCTGCTTCTCTCCCTCCCAGGCTTGCGGCGCCAAACAGCTGATTGGCGCCGCAAGCCTGGGAGGCGAGCGAAGTAGAGCGGCGACGGCGTGCTCGGGGAGGAGGCGGAGCAGAGGTGAACTGGGACCGGGAGCGGCCGCGGGGGAGGTGGGGAGCTGCTGTGAGGGGGCGCCTCAGGGCGGAGGGGGGGTGGAGAACTGCCGTGGGGTGGGGCGGAAAGCTGCCACAGGGCTCGGGCGGGGGGGGGGGCCGCAAGGTGGAAGTTTCGCCTAGGGCGCGAAACATCCTTGCACCCGCCCTGCCTTGAAGATCCTCAAAATGAACGACTCTATATGTGCAAAGTAGTAGTAGTAATCATATTGTTGCTATACTATACCACAGCTCACACTTGATATATACCTCAATAATTAAAGATGCAAACCAAAAGCTATTCTCTCCAGATTTCTAGTCTTTTAGGTTCATAATCAGAGCTAAATCTTTTCCCAAAGGAAAGGTGCAGCAGGGACCTCTAGACAGCCCTGTGTTAATTAACTATCAGCCCAAACTTATTAGCAATACCTCTCATCTGTCACTCATTTTACTCCCAAAGTTACCCACCTTAAACACACATTTAGTGTCCCCTCACTTTTACATCAGAAAACAAGAATAATTAAGTGGAGGTTATTGAAAGAATCATTTACACCAAACAGATGAATCCCAAAACATTAAGTCTCCTCAATGGAAGACTGTGGCCCTGATTTTGGATCTTTGTCATACACTGCACCCCATATTTAGGCCTTGGCAGGTTGAGAAATAGTAATAGTTTGCCTTTACAGGGCACCTTCCATCCTTGGATGCTTTACAAACACCATGAAGCTTAACTAACACCCTTGAGAGGTAGTAAATGGTACTATACCCATTATATAGATGGTCTATACCCATTACACAGATGGTCAGACTGAAGTAAGGACACCTGCCTAAAGTCATATTTACTCGTCAATGGCAAAATCAGAAACAGAATTCAGGAATCCAAGCTCTCAATCCCTTTCTCTAATTATTAGACAACAATGCCTCCAAGAACATCTATTTTGCTAATGGCATTTAGCAAGTGAAACTCCTGGACAAAGGCAAAATGCAATAACCTTCCTCCTTTCCCCCCCTCTATTTAGTGCTTAATATATAATTTAAATGCTACATTAATGCTACATTCAATGCTCATCTCTCATAACATGATATACATGAGTATATCCAGAATATATATAGTATATCCAGAATATATGCTCCAGAATAAATTTCACATGATTTTTACTAAGATAATTTTCTTATTAAATACTTTGCTGGAAAGTTTCAATCTGCTATGTAGCAATTATTTGAAAAACGCAGATAGCAATTATTTTACAGTTACAGGAGGAAGGGGCGGGAGCTTGCACAAATTCCATGTTTATTAATATAGATTCTCTCCAAGGATATGTTGCAAAACCCAATGTCTACTCTGAATATGGCAGTAGACTCAAGAAATTTAACCATATGTTTAATTGTAGGCACATACCTAGTCCAATGATTTCTAAGCCACATTTTCATAGCAAATCTTTGAATGATGGCTAATAATACATTGAGTACAGTTAATTCTTTGACAACAAATGTATTCTGAAGTTCTGCCTTTTCCTCTCTACCCAATATGGAGGAAGCAATCCAGGAGATAGTTGACAGAGATAACAGAACATGAAAAACAACAAAATCATGCTACACTTTTCAGTATCTCAGGGCTTAGCCTTCCGCACGTACATAACAACCTGATATCCAAGAAGAAACAGAGATATTGCATAGTCTATTTCGTAAAGAATCCTTCCAACGTTTGGCAGGATTTCACACATCAGGACAGCTCAACACACTGTAGGGTTCTCTGCTTTCAACAGCACCAATTGTTCACAGGTATCATCACTTTGCACATGCTCAGCCTTGGAAAATTCTACTCATCCCTGACACATCTATGGTGGGTGAGTAGATTTTGTGCCAGGGCAGGTAAGCTTCCCTAACAAATATACAAATCTGCACTTGTGGATGATTGCAATATGCATGCCAGGTAGTTTGGGGCTAGCTCTACCCCTTTTACCAGCACAGTCACCTCTCCTCAGGCCGTGTGGCAAGAAAATTCTTACACATTAGCCATGTTCCTATATATTTAGTACCCTGGTATTACTGTGTCCCATTGAGTATCATCATTCTACCAAGTTTCTGTGACACCTATTATATCAATATTCTCATTTAATACCGGACACTCAAGTTCACCCATCTTAGCATTTAGATTTTTTTATGTTTGTATACTAGCCTTACAAAATTTGTCAATATTTAGCTGTCTGCCTTCATGTGATGAAACTGAATGGGACTCTTTTCATTTGACTGTTTCTCTCAGCTCCTACCTGTACTGTATCAACTTCTATCCTCTCTTCTTTACTAGAATAGAGCATGCTCTTTAATAAATCTTCCCCTGAGGGATGTGTCTATCCGAACCATGTTGACTTTTCCCCAGCTCTTAGTTTAAAAACTCCTCTACGACCTTCTTAATTTTACATGCCCGCAATCTGTTTCCATTTTGGTTTAGGTGGAGCCCATTCTTCCTGTATAGGTTCCTCCTCTCCCAAAAGGTTCCCCAGTTCCTAATGCTCTGAACACCATTGTCTCATCCACACAGAGACCCAGCAGTTCTGCCTACCTAACTGGCCCTGCTGTGAAACTGGAAGCATTTCCAAGAATGCTCCCATGAAGATGCTGGACTTTAATCTCTTACCTAGCAAACCACATGGAGCTCATTTCAGGATGGGAGCCTAAAATTTCAAACACAGGGACATTATACATGAACAAAGCTAAGCAAAAAAATGTTGCTGAGCATTTGGACAGTGGGTGGGTACATAATAGGAAGATTTTAGTACCAGTGGGTAGGTTGGTTTCATGCCAGAGAGGCCTAGGTATGATGGAAGAAGCTTACATTTAAATATTGTTAGTTTTTATGATATTTTGTGAAGTTCTTAGGAGTTAATATGAGCTATTAAAATAAATGAATTAATAAAAAGTGTAATTCATCCCCTGTTCATGATTCTCCTGGGGCGCCATATAATACCAATAGCATGAAACAGATCTCACATATACACTTCTGCTTACTAATGCATAGGTCTGTGTACAGTTGCTTTGTGTCAGTTCTGTATCTTTCACACACAGGCACAGCCAATGGTAAGCCACAAAATACAGTGGCCTTAAGGCTCTCAGAAGTTTAACAGGGAGCCATATGATTTATTGGTATGGATTTATCCTGCATTATTAGTCATCAAAGAACAATAGCTTATGACATTCAGAAGAAGAGTGATAAAATTCATGAAATATGACTGGCTGCATGAAGTTTTTCAAAATCTGATATAACGACTAAGTAAAATTGAATTTATATCCATGTCAGTCAAATAATAATTATGCTGTACAAAAGCTGTAGCAGCCAAAAAGACTAAAGGAAGGGTGACTTACTGGGATCATTACCAGTGAACCAATACTGGAACATCATACATTGTTGCTTGAAAACAGTCTACAGAATAATCATGACAGTAACATGCTAGATTTCCATTTAATTCTCATGAAAGGGAGGCAAATGTCTAGTGTGACTACACCTTCAACTGGCTGTGAAACTGTTCATTGAAATAAACTGGCTTTCTAAAGCAAGACAACAATCTGGTTATCAGCTCTGCAATGCAAGAAGCTTTGAAAATCTGCTAATGACTTATATGAAATATACTTTTAAAGAGAAACTACCACATTTGGGGGGGGAGGGGGAATTCAAACTTGCCTCTAATTAATGTGAAATAGTCTAGACAAACATTTCCCCAAAAATGTATAAATATTACAGGAATAAATTGACTGTGAGCCAGAGGGCTATTATGGCCATTCTTCATGTATAGATCAGTCCTCAAAATGCTAGGGATATGATAGAACGTGAATACATGCAGGTCTCACTGAAATGAATCTAGGATTAAAAAAACCTCCCAGATTACTGACATATAAACACAGCGGAGATTCATGGAGGTAACTGAAGAAAGGAACAAAATCACAATTTTTGTCCACATTAGTCTTTAAAGGGAAAACTTGCTACAGGAACAATAAATCTGATTTTTTTTGATTGGCATGATTAAGAAAAGCATAGCATTGGGTGTCTATAGATATACTTTCGATTCCTAGCTCTGCAACAGACTTTCCGTGTAACTTCAGCAAGTTGTTTAATCTCGCTCTCTGCCTCAGTTTCCCCATCTATCTCATGGGGATTCATAAGGTTAACTCAATGGCTGTGAAGTCCTTTGATATCCTTGAATAGAAGGTATTATACAAGTGTGAAGTTTGTATATTAAAATCTCAGTTAACCTTGCACAAACGTAGAGATTTTTGCATAATTGCAAACAACTCTACCTCAGACATTTTGGTTGGCTAAAAAAAGCACCTAGTAGAGAAACAGTTTACTTTTTTCTTTTTAAAGCATACCTAATCCTATGGAATTCTGAAGCCATAATCCACCTGATTTATTACCTCTCCTGGGAGAATTCTCTTTCATCATGTAGTTTGCCTCAGATTCAAAAGCATCAATTACACAATTAAAGTGTGATTTAAGCATCCAAAATAATATCAAGTTACCTGATTAATGGGACAAAAACAAAGCTGAGAAACATCTTCAGCATCACAGAGCATGTTTAAATTCCTATAACTTTTAGAATTTATTACATCAGCAGTAAGAGATATGGCTCATGGTTTAACTTAGTATTATACAGTTACTTAGGTGGGCTATCAAAGAATATTAATACAAAAGAAAAGCCGATAGCTAATTCTTTCAAAACACTGGCACAAAACTTAACTATTAAATAATAATTGCTATTAGGTAAATGTATGCATATGCCCTATTTACTATGTTTGTAGATGGCTCTGTCTATAAATACCAGGGCTGTCTGTATCCTTTTTTTTTTTTTTTTTAGGATTCTTCAATCACCCTAAAAATAATTTCACTGCTCACTTTTGTTTGTTGTTATCAGCCGGTCCCCATTTTCACAATATAAAAGCTACAGGTCACATTCTGCCTTCTATTATACCTGTAAAACCCTGAAGTCAATGAAGCTACACTAATAACTGAGGGCAGAGTATGGCCCTGACAGTTTTAAAACATGGCAGGTTCCCCTCCTCTCCTATTCTAGCTGAATATTAACTGCAAACACAGTGAAGCAAGCTGCTTGTCTAGAGGTCCAGACAGGCAGCTCCAAAGCAGCTAATTCTTTGGGACATGAAGAATCTTTAGTTTATCCTTGCCATTAAATCTTCCCACCGTTCCCTTCTTCTCTCGGAAATGTAAATCTCAGTGGTCCCAGTTCTGCAGCCACTCTATGAGGGATAACTGAATTGGAGAAGCATCCATGCAGTGGCTAATGAATCAGGGCCAGAGTTGTGAATGTGGAAGCTATGCATAGCTATGGCACTACATAATAAATAGTAATAGTCCACTGCATGGATTCACTGTGGAACCAATCTTCCCCTAAGAGCCCCATACATCCACATTTGGGGTTATAAAGTCAGGACAAAAATACTCACACACGCAAAAACCACCCCTCCAGACACACACACTTCATTTATTTCTGATGTTTAATAGGCTGGGTGTACAAAACTAGAGGTATTGTAATAGGAAGCCTTGATTATTGCTTTTTTAAAAAATCAGTAACAGAGCAGTGGAAGTAAATGACAAGCATAAAAATGTAAAGCTCTTTGGGATGCTTGGATAGAAGATGTTATAGAAATGTAAGGTGTCATTGTTACTAAGTACTGATGTTAAGTATTGGAAGAGAGATTGTCAGAACACTTGCCTTTGAGCTACAAAATCTCCATTGACAAAGCTCATGTGAGGGGTTAGAAGTAAACTATCACACTGGGAAACCATCACAACAATTAAATCTGAACATTGCAAGTAATAAGATAGTAGTTTTATCTGCCTCAATGAAAGAAAATGAACTGCTTTGAAAAGAGCTTGAAACATAAGAACATAAAAACGGCCACACTGGGTCAGCCCAATTGTCCATGTAGCCCAGCATTCTGTCTTCCGACAGTGGTCAGTGACAGATGCTTCAGAGGGAATGGACAGAACAGGGCAATTTATCGAATGATCCAGCCACTGTCACCCAGTCCTAGCTTCTGGCAGTCAGAGACTTAGGGACACCAGAGCATGGGGCTGTGTCCCAGACCAGCTTATCTAACAGCCATTGATGGACCTAGCCTCCCAGGAACTTAGCTAATTCTTTTTTTAACCCAGTTATACTTTTGGCCTTCACAACCTTCTCTGGATATTTGTTCCACGGGTTGACTGTGTGTTGTGTGAGGAAGTATTTTCTTATATTTGTTTTAAACCTGCTGCCTATTAATTTCATTGGGTGACCCCTGGTTTGTGTGTTATGTGAAAGAGGAAATAACGTTTCTTTTTTCACTTTCTTCATACCATGCATGATTTTATAGACCTCTATCATATCCCCCTCAGTTGCCTCTTTCCAAGATGAACAGTCCCAATCCTTTTCATCTCTTCTTGTATGGAAGCTGTTCCACACCCCTAATAACTTTTGTTGCTCTTCTCTGAACTTTTTGCAATTCCAAAATATATTTTTTGAGACTGGGTGACCAGAACTTAATGCAGTATTAAAGGTGTGGGCGTATCAGAGCTTTATAGAGTGGCATTATGATATTTTATCATATTGCCTATCCCTTCCCTAATGTCTCCTAACATTACATAGCTTTTTTGACTGTTGCTGCAAGCTGAGCAGATGTTTTCAGGGAACTATCCATGATGACCCCAATATCTTTTTCTTGAGTGATAACAGCTTATTTAGACCCCATCATTTTGTATGTATAGTTGGGATTTTTTTCCAACTTGCATTACTTTGCATTTATCAACATTGTATTTCATCTGCTATTTCGTTGCCCAATCACCTAGTTTTGTCAGATCCCTTTGTAACTCTTTGCAGTCAGCTTTGGACATAACGATCTTGAGTAATTTTGGATCATCTGCAAACTTTGCCACTTCACTGTTACCCCCTTTTCCAGATCATTTGTGAATATGTTGAACAGCACTGGTCCCAGTACAGATATTTGAGGGATCCTGCTATTTACCTCTCATACCACTGTGAAAACTGATAGTTTATTCCCACTCTTTTTTTCCTAGCTTTTAACCAGTTACCGATCCATGAGAGGACCTTCCCTCTTGTTCCATGACTCCTTACTTTGCTTAAGAGCCTTTAGTGAGGGATCTTGTCAAAGGTTTTTGAAAGTCCAAGTACACTAAATCTATTGGATCACTTTTGTCCACGTTTGCTGACCTCCCCTGAAAGAATTCTAGTAGATTGGTAAGGCATGATTTCCCTATACAAAAACCATGCTGACTCTTCCCCAACATATTACGTTCATCTATGTATCTGATAATTTTGTTCTTTGCTATAGTTTCAACCAATTTGCCTGGTATTGATGATCGGTTTATTGGCCTGTAATTGCCAGGATCACCTCTGGAGCATTTTTTAAAAAAATCAGCATTACATTAGCTATCCACCAGTCATCTGGTACAGAGGCTGATTTAAACACTAGGTTACACACCACAGTTAGTAGTTCTGCAGTTTCATATTGGAGTTCCTTCAGAACTCTTGGGTGAATACTACCTAGTCCAGGTGCTTTATTACTGTTTATCAGTTTGTTCCAAAACCTCCTCTTCTGACACCTCAATCTGGGACAGTTCCTCAGATTTGTCAGCTACAAAGAATGGTTCAGATGTGGGAAT